AATAAAAGGATCTTAAATACTATTGAATGAGAGCGAGATTCATGTAAGTTTATGGCGCCACTTAGTACCAACGATTCCATATGAGATCTTCTGGAGATCAAAGCAAAAGAAGCTGAATTTTAAAAGACTGAAGAAGAGAACAGCAAAGCAGAAAGAAGCTGGTCCTATTTGAAGTCCTGTGAAGAGCAAAAAGCGAGAGATAAGAAGCTGAATTTCGGAAGACTGATGAAGAGAAGAGCAAAGCAGAAAGAATTTGAAGTCCTCTGGGGAGCAAAAAACAAGGATAAGAAAGAAGCTGAATTTTGGAAGAGACAAAAAGAGAGATACTGATTCTATATGAGACCTTCTGAAAAACGAAGCAAAAAAGAAGAAGCTGAATTGTAAAAGACTGAAGAATAGAAGAGCAAAGCAAAAAGAAGCAGATTCTATATGAGATCTTCTGGAAAACAAAGAAAAAGAGAAGAAGCTGAATTTCAAAAGACTGAAGAAGAGAAAGCAGAAAGAAGCTGTATTGAGCGCACATAATCAGAAATGGTAAGAATAACAGATGAAGTAAGAGGAAGAGAAAAAAAAATTAATAAGAAATGAAAATTGGCATCTCGGTAGAGTGGGTGTCTCTCAAAATGTTTTAAGTAGTCTGTTGTTGTTAATAAATCTTAACTGGTTGAACAATTTAATCATGAGAAAAAGAAAGAAACACCTCTTCACCTATAAATACAACTATATATAAATACCTATGTACATATTAGTATGCTGTAAGGCGCGGGATATGTGAAGCTTCCTTAGGCTCAAGGTACTACAAACAATGCATGAATGAATTAAACTGAAAGCTTAAAACAACTGAGCTGCGAGCAAGATTTTATTGTAGGGGTAATTCAAAAGAAACACGCTGCAAGCGCATTAGTTGTGAGTGTGTGTGTGTATGTGTGTGTGTGTGTGTGTGTATGTGTGTTTGTGCACCACGCACGTCACTCACAGCAGCAATAAAGGCAACAGATGGTGCGCCGTATGTTGGCCAGGACGACATGGCCAAGGATTAAATTTATGGTCACAACTTTAAAAGTTTCTCTATGCGAAGGAAACTTAACGGCTGGATGAATAATCACCAAATAGAAATGGGATGTAAGTTTGTGAAACAAGTTTGTGGCAAAGGGAGTGCGAGGGCAACCAAGTTGCTCTCCACAATTCGGACGAGGGCGAACACCCATCCCATTATTCCGATGAAGATTGTACATTTCACATTTTAAATAGGGTCTTTATGAACGGCCGAATAAATGCCTAACAGCTTATACTAAGTTAAACTTTAATCAGCCACTATTGTGAACATCAAAAATAAACACACACACACACACACAGACACTTGCACACAAAAAATGCCGATTAATCATTAATTACGCAAATTCAACACAGAGGTCTACGAAACTTAATTAAAAACCGGCCATGCATTGTGTGGTTGGAGATTTTAAATGAAAAAAGGTTTCGCCTTTTACCATTAATTTAGTTTCTTAATTCGACTGTCGAGCCAAATCGAATTAGATTAATCCACAGTTTTTATAAAAGCATCAAATAATAATAATGGGGAACTGCAGATGCTGAATTGGCTGACCAGAAATGCCAAATAATTTGTGAAGACTTTCATTTTAGTTTGTAACAATATAATATTTTAAATAAACTAATTAGGTCTTAATTGGAATTAAGTGTTTTCCTTAGCTTACTATTCGTTTTAGTTTGGCAGAGCTGGCGAAATGACTAATAAAATTCCCCCCATCTAGTCGGAGGCATTATAAGACATTATTTTTTATCTTCTAGTGAAAATTATAACGTTTTTTAATCAGTATTATTTACAAGTATTGTAATCTGTATCGACAGTCCATGTTTGTTGATGTAGCTTATAACAGTAATAAATAAATAAATAAAAAGAATGAAGTCTGCTTTTAATTCCATCACTCTTTTGATTCTAACTTAAAACGCAAAAGATTATGACAATTCAGCATGCTATTGAAGAAGACTCCAGATATAGTCATATATAGTATATTATATCTCGGCAGTCGGCAATTGGTCTGGCACTAAACGCCTTCCATCTATGGCGGCTGCAGTTGCTAAGCCGTTAAGAGCACACACGAGTCCAGACCACGCATCTGGCGCGAAATGCCAGGGCTGAGGGCAGGGCAGGCTGAAAAACAAACGCACTGAATGCGCTCTCCGGACTGGCAGGTGGGCAGTTCAACTGGAGTGAGGGGGACGGCTGGCTCTTAGCCTTGACAGCCATTAGGCAGCGCAACATTTACACATTTTTATTTCCTTTTTTTTCACCCAGCAGCAGATTAAAAAGGAAATAAGCGTGAAAGCAAACTTGAAATTAACTGCAGCCGAATGTGGTTGGGCAAGGGACGAGAGTGCATGGAGAGGAGACAGCGAGAAAAGGCGAAACAGATAGCAGGCAAGAGTGAGAACGAGAGGTAAAGGTGAAAGAGAGAGCAGCAGCTGTGGGTAGAGGTAGGGGTGGGGATAGGCGTAGGGGTAGACGTCGATGTGAAGCGCTTTCAAGTGTGCGACATGCGGCTAATGATGCTGACATTAGGTGGCCGTTTAATGTGTGTGCACGTAGCGCTATACACACACACGCCACGCACACACACACACACACACACACACACACACACACAGGCAGGCGCATGCACAGGCACACTTAAATAGTCTCGCATGCTGCCATGCGTGTAAAAGTCAAGGCAGAAGGCACGCCACTGCGTGTTATATAAGCGGACGCACAAATGTATGCTACACTTTTTTTATGACGACCGTGTTATTTTTGGGCTGCCAAACAAACGACGGACGCACACATAAAAGCCAAAGCCAAAGCCGAATAAACTAAAGCGCAGTGAGAAATTTTGTGTTTCACAAAGAATATGACAAGACGGGAGAAAAGAACAACAACAGCAACAACAACAACACACAAAAAAAGGTGATAAAAACAATGGGTAGGTTGGGGGGCAGGCAACTTTAAGGCAGCGCAACGGCTGTGCAGACAAGACCAATGCTTAACGCACACACACACACACACAAACACACACACAGAAACACTTATAGGGCATAGCAGACACCATCAGAGTCGAGTATACATGAAATATTCAAAATACGACATGTAACTGTCATAATCATGGCCAGCGACGGCCAAAACAGACCAGACCAAGGCAACAACCCGAATCCGTATCCGAATCCGAGTCCGAACTCAAAACCGAGCCAAACAGCCAGGCAGCCAACAAGGGACTGGGAGCAATGGCGGCGCGACTCACAGCAGCAAACAAGCGAACTACTGTTCATTCCTGGCCAAATGCCAGGCATAGTTTAATATCTATTTAACATGTCAGTGGTGTTTGCTGAAGCGCATTGTTGTTGCTCTTATTGCTGCTGCTGCTTCTTCTTCTTCTTCCGCTGCTACCACTACTACTGTACACTACTGCTGCTGCTGCTGCTGCTGCTGTAGGTTGTAGGCCACAAAATCCCCAAAGTGATTATATTAATACAACATGAGCCACAAGTGTGTTGCATACATTGAGGCGTGCTGCTCGACAGCGAAGCGAGAGAAAACCTTTAAACTGTACCCACACACCCATCCAGTCACACACACACCCACACACTGCTTCCTGTGTATCTAAGCGTTTATTGTGGGGCTTGTATGCGTGTAGCTGTGTGTGTGTGGCTTTTTTGTTCTATTCGAAGTAAATCAGCATGAAATATATTGCATATCCATAAATACTGATACAAATATGCGAATAGGAATATTAGTGTGTGGGTGTACAAACAAGTTAGTGGAGCGACCTTAACCGCACATACCTAACGTTAATCTATTAAGTAATAAGCGAATGGTTTTCACTATGCAGCCAACTATTTATTCGTTCGCCGCAGAAATCTGTTGCGATGGAATTTTTTAATTAATATTGGTTTCAAAGTCAAGTTCATAGTCGAGAGAATAAAAATATTAATAAGTATTATAAGTTAAAAGTTATTGTATGAGGAAAATAAATATTAGTTTATTCTTAAAGTGTTCCTAAATACATCTTTTACGAGTGTATCGAATTTCGAAAAGTATTTTCTTGTTGAAAAGTAAATGAAAAATGAAAATGAAAAATGTATTGTTAAGAAAGAAAAAGTAAAATGAATGCAACTGCCTTTTTGAAACTAGAGACAAATTGATAAAACATGGACAAAAATAATAGTGCACGCACATGTGAGTGCAAGAAAAAAGAGAGGGTTGCTGAAACCCAAGACATAACATAAAATATTGTAAGCATCTGGTGTCAATTAGTATGCAAGTCAAAGGAAATAGAAATTACAGTCCACACAGAAAAAAGAGAAGGAGATACGAGTATGTACTGTTAATTAAAGGGAACTGCAGAAAAAGAAAATTTAAAATAAGCGTAGATCTTATGTTACAATTTTGTATAAATAAGCATGTTCATTCAATAATAATGTTGTTCAATTGAACTTAAATAATTTATTCTATAAGGCCTTAGCAAAAGTAAAGCTAACGGATAGCGAGGCTAATGGACGTTAATAATAGATAAGGATTATTTTACTATATATTTATTCAAGTTCCTAATCCCATCGTAGCTGTACGATTATGTTCATGATCAGAAGAGAAAGATGCTGCTAACAAACCACTTCTTATTACGCTTAAATAAATGTATATTAAAAATATTGACAGAACTTTAAATTAGTTTTATAATGTCTATAAAGTTGCTGTCTCGTATAAACACATCATCTATCATAAAATCTATCGTAAACTCAACAATAACCCATATACTATATAGGATCTGGCGTAAGCCAACTTGGTGTTTGGGGGCAGCCACAAATTCGCTTATTATTCATATATTAATTACATTAATTAATTAATTGTGCAATAATACATAGATTTTGTACAAGCACTTCTATGAAAATTCGATGCGGCTTAGGCGAACTAAAAGGGATTCATTGGCATACAACCAAGTGCGGAAACTTACCTCAAGCTGATTAACTCCGTAAACGAAACGTGCACGAAACTGTAAGAGAGATGAAGATAATTGTTTTAGCGAAAGATTTTATTTGTTTGCATTTGCAAATGAAATGATATGAAAAACGCAAATACTTAGGCATCTGACAGCGCCAAAGTAAAGGCAATATTTTAATATTTTAATGCAGTTTTTTGTGCCACACAAGTCTCCCAAAATGTTGAAACGCCTTAAGTGCAATGAACTTTCCGTGTGCCAATTCCTATGCTTGTGCCAGTGCCAGTGCCAGGCTGAGCCTCAGCCTGTTCCTCTGCCTGCCAATTCCAACAACATTTTGCCACAGTTTTGTATACACGTTATTTTTGTTTTGTTTTCTTTTTTTTGCGTTTTTCTTCTCTCTCTCTCTCTCTCTTTTGTACTTTTTTCTTGGCTTTGCTGTGTGCGAAGCTGCTCGAGCAGCACGCCCTTAATTTTCAAATCAAACAATGTTATGTTGTGGAAATAAAATGTGAATGTTAAAAAGAGCAGAGCAGTGGGCGGACAGAGGGCTGGCAGAGGGCGCTGAAGGGGCAGCTTCAAAAACAAAAAGCAAACGAGACTGCTGTGTCGAACAGCCGACAGCGTTCTGTGTATCTGTATGCATGTAAGTGTTGTGTCGGTGTGCGTGTGTGTGTGTGTGTGTGTGTGTGTGTGTGTGTATGAAGGTCGACAGCATGGACAGGCTCAGGCTTGGGCTCGGGCTCAGGCTTCAGCTTCAGCTTATGCTTGCGGCTCCCGTTGCACTCAAATTGTTGCCAGTTTTCATTTAAACACATACATTCATGCATGCATAAACGTATTCATATTTGAACACACACCAACACACACACACGCACCTACACTACACTCTCGATAATGCCGACCACACAAAATGTACATATTTTTACGACCAGCACTGCATTTCTGAATGAAACCTATTCCCATTAAATTCAAGCTACTCTTGCAATTTTGGCTGCGAACTAAAGTATAAGTTGTTGGTTTCTTCACTAAATTCTTCAGACAACTTGAGATCAACATTTTTAATCCGAAAGAAGCATTATCTGAGCAAGTCTGTTCACGTTCCCCAATAGGTGAAGTGTGCATAATAAAACCAGTCGAGTTATTGGGTCTCGAAGTGTCTGTTGGAATCCAGATCAGACTAAAGAACTCTTCAAGCCGAATCACTAAATGGCCTTTCCTCCGAAAAGTTGGTTTGAAAATTCGGATATTATTATAAGAGATAGAGAAGTTAACAAAACTTAACTTTCTTAGTCGGTATAGCGCTGGCTGTAAGGCCTTCGAATATAATGAGTGGCATTGTCTAGGGACTAATTTCTCTGATTCTAAATCGATCTTCGCTTATTATTTCAGCATTTTTCATTTTTTCTGCATTCAACCATTAAACAGTTTTATAATTTTTCCATATACATATGTGAAATTATATCGATGAGTCAACTATTTTTTGTCACACACAATTCCGCAGAAGTAATTCATCTGAATTGCTCCAAGAATTGCATGTTTTAGAAGCGATATCTGCGTTCCTTTCTAATAAATTCGCATTTCACTTCCAATTTAAAACTCAAATGCCAAGTTAAGTAAAGCTGGTCAAGAACAGAGGAAAATAATTAAACAATGAACAAGAGGAGATATAACTGAAATAAAAAAGGCTATCTGAAGTATAGAGTCTGCAATTGGAAGCAACAGAGTGTTTGAGCGTCTCTCCAAGTTAATGAGATTCCACTGTATTTATTCATGCGAGTATACGAGTATATACAAGAATTGCCTCATCGCTGTGCCTAATGAACTAAATTTCAATTTCTTTGCCTTTGCCTTTGCTGCTGCTGCTGATGCTGTTGCTGCAGTTTCTCTTTGTTTGAGTATGAATGTGCTGCCCAGTAGGAACAGTAGGTTGCATGCCTAGAGCACATTTAGCTTCATCATTCTCTCATCCTTCAGCCTTTCACACGAACATTATCTTTCTGACGGAATGTAACTTTGGGGCTTGGGGTCACTAGCAAAGTACAGATTGAAGAAGCAACGATTTCATGGCGTACACACTTGTAGGCTTACAAAGGGGCGAGCAGCAAGTGTGGGAGTTCTTTAGTCCTACTGGGTGTATTTGATTTGGTTCTGTTATGTTTTCTGCTTCAGTTGCTGCTACTGCTGGATAGTACGGCGCAGCTTAGATCCTTTGACGCCGTCCGTTTTCCACTCTCTGTCTGTTTGCTGTTTGTCTGACATGCACATTAACCTCTTTTTAAATAATTTATAAACAAATGCAAATAAAATAAAATACACAAAGAGCGAGCTCAAGTGGCAGCAGCAGGCATGACTAAGCAAATAAAAGTGCGGCAAATGAGCAGCAAGTTGGGGCGCTGACGACCGCGACGACGCATCGCAACGCCAAGGGATCGAAGGCGCCGCGACGGCCGAAGGACCAAGCAAGGAATCGCAAGCAGGTGCGACAAGTTGCCGAGGCTAATAGTATGTACTCCTGTGGGGAGGAGCTGGGTGCAGAGGAGCGGGCAAAGCCGTAAGTTGAAAAGCACCGCGCAAAAGTTAATCAAAATGCAAACCAAACACACACCCACGCAGACACAGACACAGACACACACACACACACAGCCACTCATACCCATACACTCAAAAACTAAAACGAACTCAAAGTAAAATTGTTGAGCACCACGCGGCACAGAGTTTATGGTTTAATTATAATTTTACTTTTAGCTATGAATTTCAATTTGTCAACAGATACGAGGAAGTTCGCAAACAAAATCCTTCAAAGCTAAACAAAAAATATCCAGGAACACAAAACTCTTCCGCATATTAAAAAGTAATATATTACAACAAAGTTGATATTTTCCAGTGAAATAAAACGCGTTTTATTTGAGTACAGAAATTCATTAAATGAAGTATCATTTTTATTCTGAATTCCTATGAAAAGTTATTTAAAAAAGAGAAAATATAAGTATGGTTTAATTATAATTTTACTTTTAGTTATGAATTTCAATTTGTCAACAGATACGAGGAAGTTCGCAAACAAAATCCTTCAAAGCTAAACAAAAAATATCCAGGAACACAAAACTCTTCCGCATATTAAAAAGTAATATATTACAACAAAGTTGATATTTTCCAGTGAAATAAAACGCGTTTTATTTGAGTACAGAAATTCATTAAATGAAGTATCATTTTTATTCTGAATTCCTATGAAAAGTTATTTAAAAAAGAGAAAATATAAGTATGGTTTAATTATAATTTTACTTTTAGTTATGAATTTCAATTTGTCAACAGATACGAGGAAGTTCGCAAACAAAATCCTTCAAAGCTAAACAAAAAATATCCAGGAACACAAAACTCTTCCGCATATTAAAAAGTAATATATTACAACAAAGTTGATATTTTCCAGTGAAATAAAACGCGTTTTATTTGAGTACAGAAATTCATTAAATGAAGTATCATTTTTATTCTGAATTCCTATGAAAAGTTATTTAAAAAAGAGAAAATATAAGTATGGTTTAATTATAATTTTACTTTTAGTTATGAATTTCAATTTGTCAACAGATACGAGGAAGTTCGCAAACAAAATCCTTCAAAGCTAAACAAAAAATATCCAGGAACACAAAACTCTTCCGCATATTAAAAAGTAATATATTACAACAAAGTTGATATTTTCCAGTGAAATAAAACGCGTTTTATTTGTGTACAGAAATTCATTAAATGAAGTATCATTTTTATTCTGAATTCCTATGAAAAGTTATTTAAAAAAGAGAAAATATAAGTATGGTTTAATTATAATTTTACTTTTAGTTATGAATTTCAATTTGTCAACAGATACGAGGAAGTTCGCAAACAAAATCCTTCAAAGCTAAACAAAAAATATCCAGGAACACAAAACTCTTCCGCATATTAAAAAGTAATATATTACAACAAAGTTGATATTTTCCAGTGAAATAAAACGCGTTTTATTTGAGTACAGAAATTCATTAAATGAAGTATCATTTTTATTCTGAATTCCTATGAAAAGTTATTTAAAAAAGAGAAAATATAAGTATGGTTTAATTATAATTTTACTTTTAGTTATGAATTTCAATTTGTCAACAGATACGAGGAAGTTCGCAAACAAAATCCTTCAAAGCTAAACAATTAAATAGCTAGGAACTCCAAACTCTTCCGCACATTAAAAAGTAATATATTACAACAAAGTTGATATTTTCCAGTGAAATAAAACGCGTTTTATTCTGAATTTCAGTTAAAGTTAAAAGTTAATCAAAACTGAGAAAATATATAGTAGTACGAAAAAGTTTGCCCCTTGTTCAACGCCACTTATTAATACGATTTTTTTTCGTTTTCGGACAGATACTTACACCTGGCACTTGGCAGTTGTTTATTTGTTTGGTTTTTTGCTTTGAAGAATTCTCTTTTTATTGCAAATGTTGATCTTACTTAAGTCGTTAAAGAGGCTTTATTTAGCTCCAACAAAAAAGGGCACCGTTAGGTAAAGTAAATAAAGTTTGTATTTAATTTGGTCTTGTCTTATTTTCTCGCAGTGCACTACTGCGTGGAAAAAGTCTTGAAGCATGTCTTCAGCTACGCGTTCTACCCATACAAGTAGGTGATTGAGACTGCGGGGTGACGAGGTATAAGGGATATAGGCTGTGTAAAGTACCCAGTCTTCCATAAATATGCCAACAATTGTTGAGCAGAAATTTTGAGCAAATTGTGCATCAAGCAACTGGAGTCCGAGAAGGTGCGCGTCCTTTTTTCGCACCACCTTCAGCAGCAGTTGTTGTTGTCGTCTTGGAAACAGAGCAAAACTTTTAATGAAAGAACGCGCGCGACTCGAGCTCGGAGTGTGTTGGCAGATTTATACTCGTACATATTGTAATAAGTAGTTAGGGCAGAAGAAGCTTTGCCAAATATTGACCCAACAGTTTTAACTGCTTTTGTTTTGTGAGAATAGAAGGCAGCCAGAAGCTTTGATTTCCATAAACTTTTTAATTTATCCTTTCATTTTGAACCCCCCGCCCTCAAATATCAGAAGAAAATTGAACGAGTCTGAACGTTTACGTTTGGATTTTAATATTTGCACTCATCTTTTGTTAATTTGAATTGACCGATAGGCTTGGCTTTCACAAAACTAAAGCTGAGATAGCTGATAGGTTTTGTTGTATACCGTTTGGCTGCAGGGTATACAACTTCTTACGCCTTGACAGATACATTATGGCTTGCTCTTTAATTGCAGCATCAACCAAAGCAAAAAGGATATTCCACTTGAAATAGAGCCATCTTCGAGGCGCTCTCCATGGACCCTGATTGCATTTCTAGCTCACATCAAGCCCCTCCCTCGCACATAGCTCCCCACAATATAGACATCTGCACGTGGTGCCGCGCCGGAAAACAAGAAACGAGAAATCAACACCCACCATTCTCGATATCCAGCTAACATGTCAACTCAACCTTTTGGCTTTTAACGCAACGACAGCTTTAATAATATTGTCAGTGCCATGATGCTGTGCGGGGGGCCTGCTCGGCTCGCAAGTGTTTGTGTGTTTGTGTGTTTTCCTGTTTGTCTGATTCGATATTCTATGATTTCTTCCCAGCACTCCGGCGTAACACGTAATGCATATCCATCTACAGAGAGACTGAAAGGTTCTTCTCATGTTGCGTTTGATGTGATAAGTGTTTTGCAAAATTGCCATTGCCCGAATGCAATTGAATATTTTTTAGTTGAAGGAAATGGAGAGAAACGTTAACTATATAATTTCCAGTCATTAGTGTGTGATCTTATATATTGTTCTTAATTGGGTGTCCTCGTTATCTAAGCCCTAAATTTTAAAAACTCCATTAACATCAGTAATTTCCCAACTACTGTCTGGTCTGGTTTTTTTTTTTTTATCAGACGTCGTAGCCCGATGTTCTTTTTTCTTAATTTATTTTGCATAATAAAGCGTTGCAATATTTGCTAACTATATGCTCTTTGTAGGAGTTTTAGTTTTACGATAAGTGTGATCATAAGTGCGTTCAGCTTAACGCCCTATAGAATAGAATAGAATTCCCCAAAAAGCCTACATTTCCTAAACCCTGTAATACAAGTTTTCAGAGTATGCCCAATGAATTTGGATTACTTTGTTCAAAATTCTGGAAAATATAGAGGCTGACATTCACCACCCTTTTATCTTCTTAGCTACATAAAATTATCGGCACTGTCTATATCGTTGTTTACACACAGTTCCTTCATCGATATAGCACATCTTCTCTAGCCTCAGGAAAATGTGAAACCATATACTCCGCACACCTCATCAACTCCAGCATTTTGACTAACTGGAGTAACAATATGAAAATTTTCCGCTACTTGTAACCTTCATTTGTAGGTAATTGCATAACATGTCTGACAAACAGCATCCCCCCTCCCTAACATGGAAGGACAGCCTTGCAAAAAAAAAAAAAAAAATTTCAAAAAATCAGCAGCGATTGTGGCAACAACGGCCGATGCCGTGGCAACCCAGACATCAACTGTCACCGAACAGATTCCATTCCCTTTCCGGCCCCATGGCCCCACGAACAGTTTGTTTGTAAAACGCTCAAATTGTCAAAATGGCGTGCGGCACACTCGCGCATGGGGCAAGAACAACAACAACAACAGCAACAACAATGTCGGTAAGTCAATAATGTAATTTTCTCTTTTGATATTTTGTATTCCTCGTTCGCGTATGGCGCTTCCTTTTGTCAAGCCAACTCTAACACAATCAGTTCAATACTCTGCGAAAAAAAAACAGGATAACACACTCCATCACACTCAGAGCCCGCGATGGGGCAAGGAGGTGCACAGAGACATCATGTTCCATGCGTATCCGTATATAATCTACCTAGGAGGAGTGTTGGAAGATTCCACAGAGCAGACTCGTTCGGGATTTGTATGACTTAAAGGTTCTTTATACAATTATATCTATCTGCCAAAGTCTATATATAGTATGTCTGCTGCGTATATATATCTAGGGAGAATATTGCTGGGCTCTATGATGACTTCTTTTAGTCGATCTAGAAATATCTATTCTGGTTAGAAAGAAGCTGGTCAATAAACTAGACTTGCAGGTTCTTCATATATGATACTTATATGTACCTGGGAAGACTATTGGGGGCTCCATGATGACTTCTTTTAGTCGATCTACAAATATCTTTTCTGGCGCGTTAGTCTAGAAGTTGAGGATTAACAAACTAGCCTTAAGGGTTATTCATATATTATAGTATACTAGTTTATGTACGTAGGAAGAATATTGGCGGACTCTATGATGACTTCTTCTAGTCGATCTAGACATATCTCGCCTGGTGAGTAAATATCGAAGGGTGGTGGTCAACAAACTAGCCCTGCGACTACCTCTATAAAATTATGTAGACCCTGTCTCTTCTGTTGAATAAGTATCGCTTTAAGTACAGCTTTCCAGGTTCCCGTTCTTAGTGGTAAAGCTTTTTCGAGCTTCCCACTCACGGAAGTCGTAGCTGCGAGAACCTTAACACAGCATGCCAGGAAATTTCACTCGTCCGTATCGGAGTTGTCACTCAACAACTTAACGTTCTCTCAGTTTAAAAATTTCTTCAATAGTATTAGGACGCACATTTTCCGGACATTTATATTTTTCGTTGTTACCCAACATTTTGAAGTGTATTATTTCGGTTTTTATATTTTCCCAGTAGGTGGGCAGAACGTCGATTCGCGCTTTTACTGAAAGCTTTACATTTCGTTTCATTTTAAGAACATTACGTCGACATGGCCGTACCTTCAATGGAAATACCCAGCAAGCTGCTAGATGAGGAGGACTTCGATGCGCACGACGAAACAGATGAGCAATTGGTCAGCCTGCTGGAAGCTGGACATCAGTTGCCAGCTATCTTGCACGAGGATAGCAGCATGGAGAGTCCCTTGGAGCAGGGCATGTCCGAGCTGCAACGCATCTTTGAGCAACTGGTGCCCAACAAGCAAACGGGCCGCTCGAGCTTAGCTCGAAGTCCGCATTACTTCTTTGGCACACTGATCGAGGAGCCGAGCGCCGAGGACAAGGTGATTGGTCATGTTTCTGAGCTAGAGGAGGACCAGCTGCCCCAGCCCGAGCTCGATGACCAGACACGCTTCAAAGCAGCAAAATTTTTCAATCTCATGCTGACCAAGCTATGGCGACGAAGGCGCAGCGAAGTATTCGATCTGCACGCCCTGGTGCGCAGATATCAGGAGCTGGTAAGTACAAGGATAATAACGCAATGCATCCATTTCTCAATCGAACACAAAAAATCAGGCCTTCAAGACCCAGAACGAGCTCTTCAAGCGCAACCAATTGATCTGCATGGAGCATCGACGCGGCGAGAACCTGCGCGTGCAGCTCGTCCGAGCAGTCGGCCGGGTCCGGGTCACCTCGAAAACGTGTCGGATCATAGAGGAGCAGTTAATGCAACTGCGCGCCTACGAAAAGGATCTGCAAGCAAAGCTTCAGGAAAAGACGCAGGAATGTGACAATTTTTCAGAGCTCCTGCAATCTTGTAAGACCGAGTTGTTCAGGGAGTTGGCCAAATACCGGCAAACATCTAGCGAACTGGCTCAAGAGCAGCGTAATGCACAAAACTTGGAGATAATCAACACAGAACTGGAAGATGAGGTGAGCCACCATTAGTAGTGCTCTTTAATGGATGATGGAGGATAGTGATTACTAATTCACAATTTTCTAGCTGCTCACACTCAAGGATCGCTTTCAAACGCAGAACGATAAAATGACGGTGGAGTTGACGCGCAAACAGGAGCAATTGGACTCGGCCTATGAGCTGCTTAAAGACTTTGAGGAAGAAGTTGCTGAATTGGAGCTGTAAGCGGTGTGAAGAGTGTCTCTTTTGAGTTTTTATGCTCGGCATTCAAACATAGAATCTATACTATATATATTGGTCTAAATATGTATAACAGACAAAGGGCGTCGTGGCTGTTGTTTTTTCTAGATAGACAACACACATTGATTTGTCCGTCTGTATGAACATCGAGAACTGTTGTGTCAAAATAGTTGGAGATACCAAACTTGGCATATCGATTGCTCATATCCATATGCAGATCAAGTTTATTACCAATCTTATGTCGCCCACTTCTTTTTTTGTCCCTGCCATAAGAACGATCGGTGAGAAAATTGATTTGTCCGTCTGTATGAACATCGAGAACTATTGTGTCAAAATAGTTGGAGATACCAATCTTGGCATATCGATTGCTCATATCCATATGCAGATCAAGTTTATTGCCAATCATATATAGCCCACTTCTTTTTTTGTCCCTGACATGAGAACGATCGGCGAGAAAATCAGTCTATGCGATACGATGTCGTACTCAAAGCTGGTCTTTATAATGCCTCACCAAGTTCTAATTTTTCGTCCGAATCATATATCTGCCGTAGGAATTTTTGTTTTTTAATGGAATAAGGGAGAAAAGCTCTTCTACTCACTGTATTTCGTTCTCTCTCTCTTTCTCCCTCTTACTCTCTCTGTTTCTCAATAGGGAACATACCGAACTGATGCGGTCCAGAGAAAACGAACGGGCCCTGCAGAAGGAGATTGCTGCCTTGAAGAAGGAGATGGGCATGGTGCGCTACGTCTTCTTTTATCGTACGGTTCGCCGTCTATCGGACCTTCCTCGCTACATTTCGGAGCTGTTCGCCACCATTCTGAGCTGTCTGTTTCCGCAGCCAAGCATCAGCTCAGTGCGCTTTTGTATTGCTCTGCTCATCCTGATTGCGGCAATGAACTGAACAGCATTTGCCTTAAAAAGCGGACAAGGGGCATTAGTTGCGTGCCCATTCTATTTACATGGCTATGACTGTCATTTTTTTGGGGTTGTAATTGAATTAACGTACATATATATACTTTATAGTAGGAACATTAAATAGTTTTCATTTGCCGTATACAAAAAATACACAAATCCATCAAAATATCGTGTACTTATAAATTTATAAGTTTGCAAATTTCATAAAAATAATTGCAATTTAAATGAAAAAGGAATGAATTGTTCATCTTTAATACACATATACAAGTAGTATATATAAATACTGTCTACAAGATACTCTTTACTGCTCAAACTGACAAGCTGGTGAGGGGAGTGTTTGTTCATCCTTTTACAGATTTTAAAGAGCACGAAATTGGTGATCGAAATTCGTAAAAGGTATGGGTTGTGATTAACCTTATTTTCGCAGTAAAATAAGATAAGTTTCAAATCATTACATAACATAATTGACATAATTGACTTACGAAACAAGATATGAATGGAACAACTAATTATTTGCATACAGTGCTATTTTATTTGCAAATGGGCATGGAGAAGCAGATAATCCCACAGTTTTAGTTTAAGGTGTGTTGAGTCTGAGATTCAACAACCATTGAATGTAAGTAGTTTTGTCAATACGAGTAGAGTGGTATGATATTTCAGAATAAATTAGACAATCTTCGTTAATGAGTGTTTCTAGAATGTTTCTCCATTTCTAGAACTTCTGAGATAAAAGTGGGCAACAAATGAATAACAAAGCCTGTACAATGGATCAGTAATTTGTCAGGAATAGTTATAGTTTGCGGTCAATGCTCGAACTACTGCTTCCATCTTTAAACTGACGGCCTTCACATCACATGAGAGCCGTGTGCAGATGTCAGCTTGTATACGTATTACAAAAGACTTGCGGTATGGAGAGCTAATCGAATTATATATCGCGTATACGCCACGTTGCGCGCGCACTCGTAATGCAAATTATTGCTCACCACATCGTACCACAGCCACAGAGAGACAGGGAGACAGGCAGACAGGGTGGTGGCAGACAGGGAGGTGGCAGACTGGCAGACAGGCGGACAGGCAGGCAAATTAAATAACGCACGCACGAATGACAACAACGGCAGCAGAAGTACACAACAACAATAACAACAGCAGGAGAGTGGCAGCGGTTGATAGATAGCCAAGTTAATACGCTATAATACGCGCCATAATTGTCGTCATACATACTCGTACATATATACATACATATATATAGTGCATATGTATGTATGTATGTACTCGTATGTATGTTTGTTGTTAAAGGAGCAGCGACCGCAGCGGCCACAAATAATATCTGACATTTGCACATCGTCGACATGGACATCGGACATCGGACACCGGACATCGAAATAGACATCGAAATGGGCATCGCGACATCGGACGACGTCACCAACATTGACGTTGAGGTTGGCGTCAAAGAACCTAGCATCTGCCATTAGCCTAATATAGGCGGCAATCCAATCAGTCGACCGACAGACAGTCAACATACATATAATATAGGTGTAAACCGCAGTGTCGGCATCGCGACCACCGCGCGAACTTTAATTAAACAAAATAATTTGCAATTAGTTGTGTTGTCGGCAACAATGGTCGGCAAGGGCGGCCACAGAAACAGTAACAAGGCAACAGAGCAACAGGGGGAGTGGAAGGAGAACAAAAAAAAAACTATAGCTCTACTAACTTGGCTAAATGAAAATGTGTAATTTAATATGCATGTGCGTTGTCTATTGTCTTTCGGTTCGTGTGCTTTTATTATTTTTTGTTTTGTTTTTTGTTTTTGTTTTCGTTTTTGTTTCAGTTACTGTTTGCTTTTGCGTTTCTGTGGATATGCCCATGAAAAATAAACTAAACACCAAACACCTGTCGGCTATTCGCACTTAATACGTGAGCACAACTATTTGTTTAAACAATAAAATATGCAGCAACCCCATATCTATATCCACATGTATACATATTTTATCAGCACTCCAAGAGGTGTCAGCAAGTTCTATATTAAAATTGATATTCACTGCAAGACCTCATTCTATTTTTTCATGTCCAGGCCCTCTTGTCTATGGCTGTGTGTGTGTGTGCTTGTGTGCCTTACTCCATGTAGATACTCATAACTACCACTATTTTATCATTTAATAACAATAAAGTGCTGTGCTAAGCATATTGATGGATTGTGCATATCTGTGTAATTATTACTTAGAAAGTTTCAGCCATAATATGCACATTTTTTTTGGGTTTTAATTCAGTGGTGGATATTTTATTGTGGGAACATTCTTTCTTACTACAACAACTCTATTTTTATATGCTTTGGGAGGAAACCAAGATAGGTTCAAAAATTCAAAAAAGGTGCAATTGAAGTGATATTTTCAAACTGAAGTTCATGAATATTGGACATTTGTTTTGAAAAACAAGTTTGTTCATTTTTAAGACGATATTCATATTTGGTGTTAATTTTAAATTCTTTGTAGATTGGTAGATAATAGTAACACTTCAGCTAAAAGAGTTTTAATGATGATGCAAACATTCTAATCCCTAAGTAATACAAATTCCTAAATATTGAGCATTTGTGTTTAAAAACAAGTTTGTTTATTCTTAAGACGAAATTCAAATCCATAATTGGTATTTATTTTAAATTCTTTGTAGATTGGTTAATACTATTTCGTTTCAGCCAAACAACACGTTTTGAATGCAAAGTGATTTTTTGTTTTTTTTTTGTATACTTATAGATAAATGTATTTATATGGGGTTTTCCTACAGTGGCCTTTATTTATCGCGTAACTTTCGGATTTAATATTCATTGCATGCGCTATTTGCATAATTATTATTATTTTTTGTGTAACATACATACATACATAAATATTTCTGCAAGGCACAAAAAATGTCAGCAGTTTGACAGGCAGTGTGCTCTACGGTTGTAAGTGCACTGCAAACCCAATTAACACTCTCGCACAGCATGCAAGAATGAGAATTGGTAAGAATCGTCACCTGTGGCTGTATTGATCAGCGCGCTTGCGGTTTAACGCTCTCACTTTCTTGCTCTCTTTGGCAAAGCAAGGCAAACAATGACACCTGCTCTGGTGGCGGCAAAGGCAACGGCAGCGGCAGAAAATATTTATCACTTTTATTTTATTAAATTTCTTTCTAACTGCAAGTTACACGCGGTAATTTGTACTTTGGAGGGGGGAAAAAAAATTAAATGAAAAAATTCACTATTGCGGAAGGCACACAGACGAAAACAATGCCCATTGAAATGAATTTTGATATTTTGTTGTTCACTCTTTTCACGCCTGCCCTCCGCCCATAAACTCAAAACAAACGAAACTGAAAAGCACGTTGCGATATTCTTCACGTTTTACGGCGACGAGTGCGAGTGCGAATGCGGGCTAACGGGCAAAGCCCATCTAAATGACTGACCGACCGCCCAGCTGAGCGACGACTACTACGACGACGACGGCAACAACAACAACAGCAACAATAGCGAGCGTAGCACGCACTGCACTCGTTTATCAAAAAGACTAACGGACAAAAAATATTGTTGGTGTGCAAGAAAGCTGCTCCACCGAGAATGCGGCGCGTACAGTGCGTGGGCGCACTTTAAAGTGTTGCCAATTCAGCCGTTTTCCCGCCAGTTCCGACGACTATTGCGATATTTGTCATCAATTTGTTTCAATTATTTCATGAAGATTTTTGAACCCAAATATGTATCATAGATCAGTCATTGGAATGATGTATCTTTAAATAAGTTTTGTTCAAAAGCCTATTTTAAACAATTTTAATTGGAAATTATTTCAAGAATAGATGGGACATATAAGAAAACTTCATCAATCAATGAATGCGAATGAAAACAACGAACGATCAGATTTTTCAATTCATTTCTAATTGTTCAACTATTTCTAGCTTTTGACTGAAACTCAAGAATTGGCAGCACTGAAACTGTGTGCCCATTCAGAGAGAGAGAGAGAGAGAGAGAGAGAGAGAGAAAGAGGGAGAGAGCGAGCAACAGATCAAAAGAGAGATATAGAGAGAGCAAGAAAGAAAGGGAGAGTGAACAAATGAGCACTTTGCAAATTTGATTATTATACATTGCCATTGAAATGTACATAAATTATGAGAGGGAGAGTGTGAATGTGGGTGTAGGTGTGTGTGTGTGCGTGTGTGTATAAGTACCAATACGTGTGATAGTGCGGGTGCTGCCTTTGTAAAAGCAGCAATTGTTTATTACTGTAGTTTTATTGCAAAACCCCGCCACAGCGAACAAGCCAACCAGCCGAGCAGGCAAACAAATAAACAAACAAACTGAAGAAAATAACAAAACGGCAGCCGCAAAAAATCAACTCATTGTAAAAAGTTTTTCTGTTTTCATTGCTGAGCGCAAATTGTAAAGAGCATGGAGCGATATTGGTAGCCTAAAGTGGGGGAGGTGGGGGAATGGGTTTACAAAGTGGCACTAAAAACTAAAAAAAAAAATATTCTTTTTAAACTGTGGAATACTCTACAAGGTATTACTTTCATGTATTCACTGAATTTTTATAGACATGGTAAGTAGAATAAATAATTTACACGAAAACACAACAAAACTATCGTTAATGTAGGTATACAGATATTTATGTTTTTTTAATCACCACATCATTCAATCATATATAGATCAGATACAGTTTTATGGCCTTCGGAAGTTTTTAATAACCTTAATACATAGGTATTTCCCATTTCCATATCTGAACTAAATCAGGTGAAGACACTATGAGGCAAATCAGGAGTTGTGAAGAATGAATTTATTTATTTAAATTTCTGTATATATGTGTATGTATTCCAGAATTCTTATTATAAGAACTTCGATGGAAATGGAAAATATAAAAACAACACAGCCTAAATGGGATTGTGAAGGTGTGTTAGACCACACATTTTGAGGAGCACTGCAGTGCGACTTAAACTGCGCGAGAGACGAGAGGGATATTTTGCGTTCTTCTAGCGAGACTATTTGTAAATTTTGCCGTTATTTGCCACAATCAGCGACGGATTGTGCGTCATAAGTTATCGGAGAATGTGTGGAATTCTTAAAAATATATGAACATATGGTATTTTCCATCTCACTCCCAGATTATTAGATTCTTATAAGTATCAGAAATGTTTTGAGTAGCAGTGTTGCAAATATTAATATCCGATGTTAGTCTTACCACAGTAAGTTTTAAAACACCCCTTAAATTCCCAGATAAGCAAATATTGTCAGATGAAATCAAGATATTGGAGGGAAGCGATTATTTCTAACATACAGATCTTTATAAAATGCATTCTTGACAACAATTCAACTCATATGTTTCAATTTACGAGTAGTAGTATTACAATTTAAGATTGATCCACGGACTTTAAAGTACTTTGTCGGCTAGTTTTTATTCTGTTTATAGGATTTTAAGGTCAAGTCTATTAAAAGGCCAGTTTTAAATACCAAAACGAAATGCTTATGTGTGAGAATAAACTGGATCCAACACTTTATATACAGTTTTTCAGCACCAATTCACTTTCCCTGGGGCTATTTTGGCTTTTGAACAACCATTCTAGGTATACTGTTGACAGTTGTTCCAATACCAATAATTTGCCCACGTAATAGAAAACTTGCAAAATAGTTGTTATGTAAATACAGATGTGCATTGCAAGTTTTAAAATGGCAATAAGCTGGTTAAACTATTATCCTATTAACGACCAATTGTTCCAATATATGTTACAGTTATACCTTTCAACTGCAGACCTGCATTTATGTATGTTATTGGGTAATATTTAAATATTATGCAAACAGGCGTTTGGACTGGGCTATTTTCTATATTTATTTATGATTTTTATTTTATGAAAATCGTAAGTTTGAATTAAAATGTTCAGTTTTGAAAAGCTAGGAAATGACCAACTGCCACGATATTTAGACTGAAGCAACCAGAAACGACTCAACCAGACTCTAGATGCATCTTGGATTTCGCAGCTTGGGAGTCGCAGAAGTGCCACTGATTGTTAAGACTAAGCCCGCAGCTCTAAAATCAGATAAAAAAAATCAGAATGGCGGACTGGTTCGACGCAGTTTTGGAATCACTTGTTCATTTATGTTTGGAGATCAAATAAGAGTATAGGAAGAATTTGAATTGTTCCTTAAATGTGCGATAACAAAGAGAAAATATGAAGTAAAATGGAGCAAGAAATTATATGGAGTATTGAAGTGCTATGATCGAAACAACAGTCGATATTGCAACAGACTTCTCAATTGAAATGATATACATACTTGATATACTTTTACTATCCATAGAAGTTTAGTCGAACTAACATTCTTGAACTCCTGACCTACCTCAACCACCCCTCTTATTTCTAAATCAGCAGCTTTCAACTTTTAACGTTAATGTTTGCGAAGCCTGTGGTCGATCTACTTGTATATACTATAACTAATTGCTAACTAACTATTGTATAACTATAACTATTGCTAACGATGAAATCAACTTCAATAGAATTCATTACTGATTTCGTCAAAGAAACCAAATGCCTCATTATCGAAATAAAAATGTATGCTGAATTATTCTTGAAATTGTATTGAAATAGGAACATTATACATATATTGCTAACACTAAACTGTAACTATAGAGAGTACAGAGATTCTTAATTTAATGAAGTGTCTGCAGCGCGAAATGAAAAATTAAACTAAACTATTCTTCAAATAATATTGAAACTCAATCGGCATTAAAGAGAATTATTATCTAGGACACATTTTAATTTTGATATATTTTGGATTATCTTGTCTCAGATTTTTCAACCGCGCCCCACCACTGTGCAACAACATCTCTGCCCCTCAGCTTTTGTTCGCCACTTTCATGTGGGTTGGGGTTTCGTGATTGTGTGCGCAAGTAAATTTCATTTAATTTAATATTTTGTTTACATTTTTTATTTATTTACTCGTTTTGTTTACCCCAGCATTTGTCTCTACATACTTATATACACACATATACATAGTACACACACACACACCCACACGCACACACATCCAGTTTTACACTCGTAAAGAGGCGCCGCACAACAGTGTTTAGATTGGTTTGTTTGCAGGCAGCGTTACTGGAAACCAATAAGGAAACCACGGGAGGATTGCCACCGCCAGTCTTCTCCACTCTTCACTGGATAGCCACATTTCCGCCAACGGCGCTGGCCATTGTCTGGCGCCGTCGCTGGCGCTGCATTTGTATGATGCGAATCAAATTCCGCTGCTGGACGGGATTCAAAGTCAGAAAGCCCCGAAAACCCAGCCAAAACGTATGCAAAAAGGGGACAATTCGGGTCAGATGGTGATCGAAGTGGGCGGCCAGGAGGACCCGATTGAGCGCCACAATCGAGAGGACCATTGTGCTGAGCCAACAGCACAAAGTCTCCAACAGCTCGCGCCACACACTTGCCGCTGGCATGAAGAGAAAGTTGCACAGGAGATGAATCACCAGACTGACGTTGCTATCCATGGAGCACCAAATAACATTTCCCGAAAGCTCCATCAACATCAAAGAGACCCCAGTCTCGACAGCCAGATGAGCCCGAACGGGCAGAAAATGCAGTTGCCTTAGACGCAGATCCATTTGCCACAAAAGGCAGGTGGTGGCCAGAATGAAGATCCAGCGCGCCTGCAGGTGCAACGCATTGGAGCACAGCTCCAATGGCGTCTCAATAAAGATGGGCTTCTGATTTAAATACAGCACAAGAGCCAAAATAATTGCCAATTTATGCATTATTTCTTTGCGTATGTGTGTGTGTGTGCGTTTCTCAAAATTTCGCTCGCGCTGCGCCAAGATGACGATTTAAAAAGTAAGCCGTGATTGAAATTTTTTATAATTCTCGAAAAGGGTGTGCAATTTTGTAAAAAAAAAATAAGAGTTCAACAACAGTAAAAACGACTAAAAATTTGATAATACTGATCGGACTGCTCCGTTCCCTTAACATCTAATATTCATTCGATTTTGAACCAATCTCCGATTACTTTAACTATTATTAATCTCCAGGGACTGTAATTATTATAAAAATGAAAAAAATTGTTTATTTTTAATTTTTTTCATTCTCTCACAATATAATGATTAATTATGAGTTATATTTTACAACTCAACAGAAATTCATTATTTTGAGCAAAACAATAAAACTGATAAAATAATGATTATTCTTTAAATTTTATTTTTTTTCCAAAAATAAAAGTCAAGCCGTAATTTTGCCTTTTTCATAAGGCATAAATATCCCTAAATAAATAATTTCAAAACTTTTCATTTCGAATCAAGATCATTTTCGAATTATTGGAAATACAAGTATGCTTGCAACTATATGGACTTGTGAAGATCTGGTTTGTTTGGGAATTCGTTTTTAGAAGCCGAGAAAAAAGTAAAAGTATGAATTAGAGAATAGAGAAGACGTTCAAATACTATCAGTAACGACTTTTCACTTCTTCTTCTCTCTCCCTTCTTCTCAGTTAATTAGACCAAATCCCCTCAAAGCCGACAATAGACAACCTAAAACTACTCATAAGCCTAATCATATTACAAGATATATAATACACATAAATAAAACATATGTATAGCTGAAGAAGGCCCTATTAGCCAGGCTACAAGCTTTTAGCTAGCGCTCTTCAAATAAATAAAATATTTTGGTTATTTTGGTACAAAATACGAATGAAATACATACAGCTGTGCTCAAAATAATAGTAGTGCTTTCATAAAAATTTAGTTCGTTCAAAAAATGTATGAAATGGTGATTTAATAAACTTAAAATAATTTGTATTGTTAAGTATGGTATATTAACAAGTAAATTATAAAGAAATAATAACAAATTCTGGTCATATAACAATTTAAATAATTTTTTTTCCAAAACTTCATTAATTTGGTCGCTCAAAATAATAGTAGTGTTTCATTTGTTGGCCTCTTACTTGTCCCAACTGATCCAAATAATACGGTTATTATTTTAATTACTCATATTAGGACTTTCTAAATAATATTAGTATTTTGTAGCATAGCCATCGTGTGCAAAAACTACAGCACATCGCTTTGGCATGGAGTCCACGGGATTGTGACATCTTTGAGAAGGAATGGAGCTCCAAGCATGTCTAGCTGGTCCCCAAACCTATTCAAAATTAGTTGGTTTACTCTTGGCAACTTCCTTCTTTACATCGTACCATAAATTCTCAATCGGGTTGAGATCTGGAGACTGTGCCGGCCATTCTAGTACATTGATCCTGTTAGTTTGAAACCATTGTTTGGCAACATTACTTGTGTGCTTCGGATCATTTTCCCGCTGGAATACCCAAATCAGTGGCATTTCATCAATGGCATATGGCAGCATAATATTCTGCATTATATGCACATAAAGGTGGCGATCCATGACATTCCGGAGCCAATATAAGGCCCCGTGCCGTAATATGAAAAACTGGCTCATATCATAATACGAGCTCCTCCGTGTTTTACGGTTTTCGTGGTGAATCGAGGGTGCCATTCAGTGTTTAGTGGCCGCCTAACATACTGATGAGACCCAGTTCCACCATAAAGCGTGATTTTCGATTCATCTGACCACAAAATGTTTCTCCATTACTGCACTGGCCAATCAATGTGGTCTTGTGCAAATTTAATTCGTCTTGCCAGATGTTTTTTTGTGAGAAGGGGCACTTTCCTTGGACTCCGAGCTGCCATATTATTTTGCAGTAGGCATCTCCGTATTATTTGTGTACTAGTATGGAGATTTAATTCATCTCTTATATCGGTAGAGCTCGCAAATGGGTTCTGCCTAAAGTATCTCACTACAAGGGTCGCCAATTTATCTGACATAGCGCGAGGTCTTCCACGTGCTTAGGGGCCTGGGATAAATTTTATACCATTACACACCGTTGTAGGAGGACAACCTACTATATTTTGGACTTCATTGTAAGTTTTTCCCTCAGATATCAATTTTTGAATGAGTGCACGTCGTTCAGGAGCGCAGTGCTTGGCTCTACCCATTTCAGAAAGAAAAAACAAACTAAAATGTGTATTGGAAACTATTGTAAGCTATTAAAAAATAATAGAACTTACTATTAGCAACTTTTCGTGAGCTTAAGGAGCGACACACTTAATATTTTTGAAATGTTTGTGCAAGCACTACTATTATTTTGAGCGCGTAGAATAGGGACTAGCTGTGGAAAATGCAAATAACAACAACAACAAGTGCACAAAAAGCTAAAGTAAAGCGTCATTTTATTGTGCTCTTGTTGTAGATCACATAGGTAGAAAGAAAGGATTAAAAATGAAAGGAAACACAAAAATGCGAACGGTAGAACGTAGTGAAAAATATCACTACTATTATTTTGAGCACAACTGTACATATGCCCCGACATATTGCCACACTAATCCCACGATCTGGGGCTATAATTTTCATAGGTAATAATTAGTGAAAATTTGAGGGAATTTGTGGCAAACAATTGCATTTTTTGTTGCTGTTGTTTGTAAAACATCTAAATAGTAGATGGGTCTCAGGCAATTATTCGTTCAGTCAGTCAGTCAGTGAGTCGAGCAGGCCGTATACCCGTATATTTTGTTTCTTGAGACCCGGATACTGAGCTCGATGCTATTTCTGGAACAATCACTCCAGCGGCCGCTCTCTCACACTCACACTCAATCTCAATCTCAATCTCCATCTCTGGTAACTCTTTGGTGTTTGTGTTTGTGTGGGAGTGAGGAAAAAAAAAAAAAAACAAAAATGTAGACTGCAGCCGTAGCCATAACCGTAGCTGTAGCAGTGCCAGTAACAGTAAATTCAAGGCCAACAGCGAGTCCTTGCCCGGTGCCAGACTTGCGCTGTTTGGGGCTGTGGAGTCTAGTGATGTTGGCATTGGCATTGGCGGTGTTGCTACTGGTGGTGGGCTGCACTGTCAGTTGTCATGGAATTTGAACATCAACTAGAGTCCATGCTTGCAAATGCACAACTTTTGCGAACTACACTGCACAAAAAATAATAAAAAAAATAAAACCAAAAAGTGGGGGGAGCGGGGGGGGGGAGGGCGATGCTGCAACTGCAGCTGACAGGCTGCGTAGGCGTAGGACACAGACACGAACACGAACACGGCTAGGGACAGGGACTTGCTCATGGCCAAGGACGTATGCGCAGGCAATGGGCGCTTTAATTAGTTTATTTAAATAATTTTTGTACTATATGCCAAGTGGTGGTGTTTGGCGGGGCGCGCCTAAAGGCAGGCAACGAAAAATTGAATTCTGCATTTAGACACACGCACACACACCCACACACACACAGAGGAACACACGCAACAGCGAGACATACGGACGGATGGACGAGCGCACGGACGGACGGAGAGACAAATATACATATGCAGATGCTTTTATGCTTACGCAGCAGAGTCTCCAATGCTTGTCCGGCGCTGTCGGCGCTCTTCCTGCTGCTGAATAATGCCCAAAAATTGTTGTTGGCTGTGGGGGCAGGTCTCTGTTGTGGTTGTGGCTTTTGTTTATATTTTTGTTTGGTCCACGCACTTTAATTCACCTCTTTTTCTTGCTTAGCCACTCCTCCTGATATTGTTGTTGTTGTTGTTGTTGTTAATATAACTCTTGTTGTTTTTGTTGTACAGTTAAAACACACGAAAAAAAATGTGCAAAAAAATGTGTCGCTTGGTTTTATTTACACGCGCCACGCGAAAACGAAACACAAACGAAAACAACAAACTTGCCACAGCGTTGCTGAGTCGCGTTCTTGGTTGTTTGTTGTTGCTGCTGCAATTGCTTATTACTATTGTTGTTGTGGTTGTTATTGTTTTTTGTTGCTTGTTTGTTTTTTTTGCAATGCAGAACAAGAAATGCGCTTAGATTTAGATTATGTTCCTCTCTAATTCGAATCTATTTCTTTTGCCTCTTCTTCTTCCATCAGCTACCAACTTTTTTTGTGTACTTTCGTTTGGCGTCGGCTGCGCAGCTCCGTCTATCTTGCATCCGCCTCGCACGAGTGTTGTTGGTGAACTGAACTTGGCTAGCACCGCGCAGCTGTAAGCAAAACACATGCAATTACGCGGCCCAACAGGCCGTGGGCTGCAGGGTGCGTCGGTGCGACGGCGAAGCGAGGCGAAGAGGCAACTTTATAGGCGGCGGGCACGGTCCACATAGAGCAGGTATGGCATTCAAAGCCTGCAACTTTTTCACTCCCACTGCGCACTGTGATGTGTCGTCACAATCTCTCTCTCTCTCTCTCTCTCATTCTCCTGCTATAATGCACGCTTTTCCACAATGGCGTGTTTTTGGACAAGTGGCAGCACTGTTTGTATCGGGCGAAATATGAACATCCAACACCAAGGAACTGCCTACATTTTCAAGCTATTTAAAAGCTAATTCTGAATAATATCATTAGCTAAATTAATTTTTTTTATAACTTCATGCACTCTTTTTATATAAAAAATATATATGTAGCAACAAACTGTATTGTTGGTGCAAAAAAATTAAGCAACTATTTATAAATGGCAGCAAACATTATCAGGCATGTTTACAAGTTCGGTCAAGCTATTTGGTATTTATGGTATTTCTGTTTTTATTGGATCTAGTGTTCCATTAATGTTATATTATCCACTTTTGGAAACCAAATAGTAGGGCAGGTTTTTTTTATTGTGACGTCACACGACGAGAACACAAAATACCGGACCTGCGCACTGTGAAACCTTCTAGCGTTTTTTTTTTGTACCGTAGGCGGTGAGAGCAGCGGTAACGTCAAAGCTAACATCGACGTCTTCAGTCGTTGGGGTCCGCCGCCCTCTGCCCACAGCCAACAACCCACTGCCCAAAGGCAGCCGGCGCAGGCGTCGACGTCGATGAGGATGACGTTGTTGAGTTTGCCAGAAAAGCTTATTTTTTGCTGATATATATTAGCTACAGCCCTGTACGCGCCACACAAAAAGCTCTACAAGTGCGCGCTTCGAGCGTCCGTGTGTTCTGCTCACACAGACTGGGTCCGCCAAATGGGTGCACTAGGCTTCAAGTGATATTTTTTTTTTATGCATTTATATAAACGGATTTCCCTTTCAGAAGGCGGAACGACATTTTAAAAAGCATACTAATAGAATAGAATCCGGACTTAGGAGAATACTTTCCTTATAAAATATAATCAAAACAGAAATTTGCTAACGGCCAAGAAAACGGGAAATAAATAAAAGCTGGTTTTGTATTAACGGTTTGTGAGTCAATAGTTTCCACTGCTTGGTCATTGGATAGTTTATGTTTACTTATTTGTTACCAAGGTATGGGTGTAGCATCTGAAGAGGAACTACAAAGTTTTCACATTTTGATATATTTTATTTAATTTGTTTTAGTTTAACATTCCGAAATAAAATTTTAGTGTCATGTGCAATTTTTATTAAACAACAAATTATTCCCTAAATTAATATGTTTTTTGTTATTTAAATACTCAAGCTTTAAAAAAAGGATATCTATATTAAATATTATACGCTTTCATAAGTTTTAAGAGTCAGGACGTTCTTATTCGCACGAATTGTATTGTATTGTCGTAGGACCGTTATCAAGCACGTATGTGTGTATGTATGGCTGTATGCAATAGGTTTGAAATGCTTGTTTGGCTTCCAAAGCTGACGCAAAGCTTAAACGGCGACAACAACAACAGCAAGAACAACAACAATCAGAAAGTCAGAAAGGAAATGTGCATCCAAGGCGCAAACGATTGCCGCCTCATAACGCAAGTGCGAGTAAAAAGCCCTTCCATGTAGGGGGGGTGTGCTTTAGGCATTAGTGTTGAGCAACGGCGAATGTACGCGTTATTACCGTTGGCTTGTGTAACGACAAACAAAATGCGGAATTTGCAGTTTTTCCTAATGCCGAGGAACAATGTCAAGGGAAACTCTTATATGCGTTGTTCTCCTCGATATGTTATGGGGCCTCTAATGTAGTATGTAATGTGTTCGTATTGATTTTAAAATTATAAAAACTATGAATCACAACCAAACCAATTTTTACTGGTAATCGTTGGGAATTGTTTAGGAAAACCAATCTTTACTTACTGTTATAGTACATGGAAATGAATGTCAATTTGTATGGGTTACGGATTTATAATATTGCAAAAGAAATCAGTATTTAAACGAAACTAATAGGTTTTCATAACATTTTCAAATTTTAAATTATAAAAACGCCTATTTCTATGATTTGAATTCATTTCCTAAGAACCCCCCTAAAAAAATTTCAAAAACAGCCAATCAATACTTTAAGCTATATCTAGAATTAAGGCCAATAGGCCCAGCTCCGGCAGGGAGTACCCAGATGACTCCTTCATAAAGCGGTTTCAAAAGAACTGTACTTGAAATTATTTGAAAAGTTTTACATTAACAATTTCTAAGTATTATAAGCAGCTGTAATTAAAATTTAGCGGGTGTTATCATTTCAATACAAAGTGACATAAATTTTGAAATGCATAGCACATTCAAATAAACGGTCCCTTACATAGAAAATTGAATAAACAATGCCAAAGTGAACGACATGGCCTTCATTTCATGCGCACTACAAATGCTGCAGAAGTGCTTGAAAGATTTGAGGCGGAAAAAATATTTAAGCTTTATTTAAGGTTGGGCTAATGAATAGAGGGCTCTTGGCCGTCTCCCCCTGGTTGACCCTGACATTGAGCTTGGCGCTACATTACTTGGTTTTCATTTAATTTAATTTGCAACAGCTTAAGCTATTTAACGACCACCGCCACAAAACGGAAACGGAAAGCAAAACCACCCATTGCCAGTATACCGGGTCGGAAATTTAGTTACGTATGTGCTCAAACATACATATGTATATACACACGTACATTGTCTATATGTAGTACTTACGTACTAACAAAGATGTAGTATATTTGTCCAATTATCCAAGGGCACGGCAATGTGACTGATTGTGAACCACGTTGCGGCATTGTTTGTGAGGAACTTATAAGTGTGGAATTAAATTTAAGCGGACTTAGACTTGTTGTTCCAAGGGCTTAACCCTAAAAGCTGGATTCATGCATCTTTTGTGGGCCGCTTAGGGAATTTCATGTGGCAGACATGAAATGCATGAGAACAATGCAGTCAATGTCACAATCAAGGTAATAAAAAACGCAAATTTAAACAATTTTGAGCACAGAACTTGAAGCAAAGAAATAAGATGCCTTTTTGTTATAAATTTAGCCGTTATTTTTATTTTTATGTGATTTTTCCAACACCTAATAACTGACGCAGCTACTCACGTTGCACAACACTTCATCGCGGCAACCATCAGCTGTTTCTGCTTGCACAATATTCTCGCGCACATTTATTTTATTTGGTGGCGAATTGCTTTAATTTACTGAAACAAAATGCGTTTAACAAACGTGCTGCTGAAGAAAGTGAAAAGCAAGTAAGTTTTTGGCCATATACGAGCATTTCTAGCTCTATTAAATACCTCAAATACCTCCACAGGCGTATTATGGTTGTGCTGGAAAGCGCAGTCAGTGGGCATAAGTTTAATATGTTCCGCGACCGCTTGGCCGATAAAATCGAATTGATTCGCTTCGACCCATATAGTAAGTATAAAAAGCAATCAGCTAGCAGCTATAACAATATTCACTCGCTTTGCAGTTCAACAGGATAGTTTGTATCGCGAGCGCAAAAAGATTCGTAGCGCCTGAGGAGAGGTGCTAAGTGGAACATTTGTTTTTTTTCTTTTCATGTTGCTTTAAATATTTAGTCAATAAATACTATTTGTATATCAAATCAAGTAAAGTCAAAGTTCAGCATTAACTTATTCGGTTGTAAAGAAAAAACAGCGCATGTGTCATGTCATAAAAGTCGAGATCCCCAAAATATTACGAGTAAAATAAACCTTAACATGAGGGAGGGAACTTGAAATTGAGAAAAGCACAGGAAGCATTAGATTGGAGGTATTTTCTTTTACATACGTATTTATTAAATCACAATATCTTACTGGCAAACATAGGTAGACATACTTATAATTTGGTCCTTAGCAGAGATTGCTAGACCTACAATAAATGAATGATTCTAGTGCAACGAAAGCCTCAACGCTGAGCACGAAATTACTTGAACGTTTCGTGAGCAGAGACTTGGCTGCACAAAAAATAAAAAAAAAACAGAACGTAAACTTAATATCTAGTCAGCGCAATCTCTCACGGTTTATTTAGTATTCTTTTTTGGGTATAAGGGATCAACTCCTGGGAGCTTGCCAAGAGCTATTTAAATGGCTTCTCGGTCATTAGGAGGCCGCGTTCCCAGAGTGCTGTAGCGACCTCGACGCGTCGTTCGGAGCTGCGCATCGGTAGCTGTCCAATACTGATGTAACCGGGATAGGCACGCATAAGCATCTCAATGGCTGCGGCCTCTGTGGGCTCGATTTCCATGAAATTGGCATCGTATTTGCAAAACTCAACTGCATTTTCTACGTAATAATAAACACGCAGGGCGCCCTCATCGGCAACCAGACGCAGAATGTTGGCGCGCAGCAGACGTACGTTATGGGAGTCGGTCAACTCATAGTCACATAAGCACTTGCCATGCGAATCTGTGGTGTTGCGTGACCCAAACACTGTGCGCTTCAATTCCTCCGGCAGCACGGTGGGAGGCAATGCCTCGTGCTGGAAACGCTTGGCCAGCTGATCAACAGCCGCATCAATCTGGGCAGGGCTTGGCATCAAGTACTTGCTTACCAAGTGCTGCACATTGGCTACAAGTTCTGTGCGCTCCCTCGTCTGGACGTCGCCATTGGCCAGTCCCAGATGCTTCCAGGTGTGCAGCGGCAGACCGCGACGCATATTCACGTGGTGCTTAATGGACCGCTGCAGCACAATCGGCATCAAGTTCTCAAGCAAGTCGGCATAAGCCTGCTTTTGATAAACACTGAGCGTTATGTGCAGCGAGTAGTTGTTGTCTTCGGTGACTGCCTGATGCACCGTGCCACGTGGAAAATAGAGCACATCGCCCGGTTCTAGTATCTGCAGGAGAAGGAACATTTACCATAAAAGTTTTTGACATTCCAATTAATTTGAATACTAACCTCATCATAGATGGGAGCACCTAGCTGGCTCTGTTCAAAATTGCCAGAGGAGGTACGTGCGAGTACATCAGAATTTTTAATTGGAGAGTAAAGACGCCAGCGCTTGCGTCCCTCCACTTGCAGCACAAAGGCCTCAATGTCATCGTAGTGTGGAGCAAAGCCCTGACTATTTGGCGGCGTCAGATAGACATTGGCACCGACAAGGCAATGGAAGTACTCTTGCATCTTGCTGCAGAGCTCGCGCAAGCCACTCAAATAGGTGGACGGATTCAGGATGCGCACGCTACAGCCTTCGCCATAATATCCCCAGACAGCGGGCGGCATAGCACGACCCTCTGGATTGTGGGTCTGACGCACTCCATTCGTGTAGGAAGTCACATCAATGTTCGTGGTGAATTCCAAATGGTGGCGTATGAGCATCTCATCGATGAGTTTGAACGAAATTAGCTTTGAGAAGTATTTAACATCCTTTCGTTTCACGTGGCAGGCATTCTGTTCCCAATATTTGGCAAAGAAGGCTTCTGGAAGCAAAGGATTTACTACCCAGAAGAACATACGCTTGCCCTCCTCAATGCTATTCTGCTTGTGAACCTCGGGTCGCTCATTAAAGGCAGCGATTTGCGCCGAGTTCGCTTTTTCGGGAGCAACCTTTTTGCGATTCGTAAGCGATTTCGCACCGGCATTCTTGTTAGCATGGGAGGAGGTCGGGGCGGTGGTCTTCTTTGTGCTTTCAGATGTAGTGGCGGAATTCCTTTTGACCGGTATTGGGCATGATCTAGGAGCCGACTGCGATTTGGATACCTTTGGTGGTAGTGGACAGGATTTGGGGTTGCGCAACAGCGGACAGGACTTCTCTGTGCCCAAGGCAATGGTTTTGCGGCGTTCTGAAGTTCCATTGACTGACGGCTTTGGCTCTTGAGCTGGCAGGGAGTTCCGCTTCATCTGTTTGGCCGGCTTATTGTTGTTCAAGTCGTCGTCATTATTGCCGCCTGCGGCTGTACTCTGACGCTTTTGTGCCGTTGATTTTGGAGCTGCTTTTTGTCTGACTGGCTTTGGGTTGACCACAGCAGGGCTCGATTGGCTACTTTCGCCGCTAGTATTATAACTATTCATTGTGTACTCCTCGCTGAAGGCATCACTATCCGTTTCACCAGAGCTATCATCATCGTCGTCGTCGTCATCATCGTCGTTGCTGTCATCCTCATCGTCATCGCTATCATCATCATCGTCGTCGCTATCACCATCATCAGATGACTGAGCACTGTCTTGCTCTTCGTCACTGTCGTCGCTGTCATTGGTGTGGGACTCATCGCCATCGCTGCTATCCTCATTGCTAGACCCATCATCGTTGCAGCTCCCGGTATCCTCTTCGCTACTGGCAGTGCAGCTGCTCCCGTCGTTGTCCACAGGCCCAAGTTGCTCCGCCAAATATGCCTCCAGTTTTTGTTTCTTTTGATTCTGTGACTTGCTTAATGGTTTTCCATCTTTGTAAAGTTCATCGATCAATTTATCCATATTAGTCGGATTAAAACTTTCATTTTCTTGTGGAGCCGCTTTTCGGCTCCCTTTGCTGTTTTTGGAACGAACGCCATTTTGAAGGGCAGTTTTTGGGCGCGCGGTAGCTCCTTTCTTAACGGCACCGGAGCCGCTCCCGTTACTTTTGATGCGTCCATTCGCTTTGGGTTTGTTATAGGCTGCGAATGCAGACATATTAATAGTTGGTTTATTAATTATTTATTTAGTGACTGGCTATCTCGAAACTCGCTTTGTTCTAATGACCGTAAAATTCCGGAATAAGAACTATAACTTTATGGCGGCCTTAAGAAACAGTGCCTTGCCACTCGCACGTGCTTGGCATTTGATTGTGAGAACGACGTTGCCAGACCGATAAATGTGCGCGGTTTGTCGATAACAAAAAATAGCTATCAGCTGACGATTGGACAAAGTATCGATACACAAGGAAATAATAAGTGCGCGCGGACAGAGGGAAGTCAAAACACAAAACGACCGGCTTTTGAGAGGAATTCCTGTTTCGCTGGAAGATGGAAGATGACAACGAAAATAATGCAGCAGCGGCGGAAATTATTGAGCAGGGGAATAAGTTATTGGCCAACAGTGTAACTGCAGAAGAGCAGGATGCTGAGGCGGTGGCAGCTGCGGAGCAGGAGGAGGATAAGGAATTGGCCAACATTGTAACGGCAGAGGAGTATTTGATGCGCAAGGATGTTGTTCTCTTGGAATATGAAAAACAAATGTTTCTAGACCTGGTCTATGCAGATGGCTTGCTCGTATGCGCCAAGTAAGTGTGGTGAGCAGTAAATCAAGTTGACCGAACTTCTAATCAGACATGCAAAAATTTACAGAGGTCTAACCTACGAGCGCGTCTTGCTCAACATATTTAAGGTGTACAGCGATGCTGGAAACCTGTTGCTGGTCGTCAACAGCTCCGATTGGGAGGAACAGTATTATAAATCGAAACTGGACAAAAAATATGTGCATGAAGTGGCCACAACAGCCACAGAGCGGTAAGTGCGCAGTATTTATGGCTTTCACGCACTTCTGATAATGTTTTGGTGTGTTGCAGCGAACGCGTCTACCTTGAAGGCGGCATACAGTTCATTAGCACGCGCATTCTTGTGGTGGATCTTCTCAAGATGCGCATACCCATCGAACTAATTACTGGGATTATTGTGCTGCGCGCCCACAAAATCATTGAGAGCTGTCAGGAGGCGTTTGCACTGCGTCTGTTTCGCGAACACAATAAGACAGGATTCATTAAGGCCTTCTCGAGCAGTGCCGAGGCCTTCACCATTGGTTATGCCCATATCGAGCGCACCATGCGTAATCTCTTTGTAAAGCATCTGTTCATCTGGCCGCGTTTCCATGCCACAGTGCGTGCGGCTCTTCAGCCTTGGCAGGCGAAAACCCACGAGTTGCATGTACCCCTCACGCAAAATATATCGCACATACAGACCCACATACTGGACATAATGAATTATCTCGTGCGCGAAATAAAGCGCATCAATCGCACCGTCGACTTGGAAGCGGTCACTGTGGAAAATTGTGTGACCAAGAAGTTTCACAAGATCCTGCAGGCGCAGCTAGATTGCATTTGGCATCAGCTGAATTCGCAAACGAAACTGATTGTAGCAGATCTTAAGATCTTGCGAAGTCTCATGATGTGAGTATTGGTTTTTTTTCACAAGTAGTTGGCTGGCTATAGTTTGCAGATCTGACCACGCCAACTCTCATTTAAGAAGTCTTTTAAGATATCTTTGAGTAGTGAACAATAGTTATCCCAATTGTATTTGCACTCGTCTAATTGTGTGTTCACTTTCAGCTCCACCATGTACCACGATTCTGTGAGCGCTTATGCGCTTATGAAGCGCTACCGCAGCAAGGAGTATGCACTCAGCAACTCGGGTTGGACCCTGCTTGATGCCGCCGAACAAATCTTTAATCTGTCCAAGCAGCGAGTATACAATGGGCAGCAGGGTGAGTGTGTGCCGACATCATTTTAAAGGTACAAGCAACTTAACTTTCATTTCTATAGAATTCGAACCGGAACCCTGCCCTAAATGGGCACCGCTAAGAACACTGCTGCATAAGGAAATTCCCGAGCACATGAAGAAGGTACGTGGCTGCCATAACTCGGAGCAGCCCAAGGTCCTCATATTATGCCAGGACGCACGCACCTGCTTTCAGTTGAAACAGTATCTGACTCAGGGCGGTGCGCGTTTCCTCTTTCAACAGGCTCTACGGCATGAGGTGCCCGTGGGCAAGCTGAGCGCCCACTATGCGCGCGATAGTCAGCAAACGACAGCCGCCAGCGAGGAGATAAAGCCAAGGAGTGAGGGAGTGGATGCGACATCAAAAGTTTTAATTTCAGCGCCAGAGCCGCCAGCAACAGATGAACTCTCCCAGCTGCTGAGTGGCATAGACTCCGGGGATGACTTGCTCGAGGGCCAGCACTTTCAGGATAGCTACATGTTGACAATGACGCAAGTATCGCAGACTGCCGACGCATTGCAAGAGACGGCAAATGATTCCATTTTTGAAAGCTTTCCGGAGCTGGAGCAAATGGATATATCGGCGGCGGTGGCCGCTCAAAATCAACCATGCATTTGCCTGCAAACTTTTAAAACGGATCGCGAGGGGGCCATGGCCCTGGAGCACATTCTGGAGCAGCTACAGCCTCATTATGTGGTCATGTACAACATGGACGTGACGGCCATACGTCAGCTAGAAGTGCATGAGGCGCGTTGCCAGCGTGTGGAGCGGGACCGAATGACAATCTATATCTTAATGCATCCGCGCACCGTCGAGGAACAGTCATACCTCACCAGCCTGAGGCGGGAGAAGGCGGCCTTTGAGCTGATTATTGAGACAAAGAGCGTAAGTAGCTGGCCAAGTCAGGATAAATAACAACCTAATTCGTAAAAGGAGCTAGAAGACTAAGTCACGCAATAGTTGATGTACCATACAGTTGATTTTCTTTGATTTTCACGTAACGATGTAATGACACTCATCCTTTTTTAATCCACAGAAAATGGTCATACCCGAGTATCAAGATGGCAAGACCGACGAGGCATTTATACTCTATAAGCGATATGACGATGAGACGACGGTGGAGGCGGCAAATGAAAAGAGTCGCCAGGCGGGTGGCCAACAGTCCAGCACCTGTGTAACGCCCCGGGTTATTGTGGATATGCGTGAGTTCCGTTCGGATCTGCCGTGTCTCATACACAAGCGTGGCCTGGAGGTTGTGCCCGTCACCATTTCAATTGGGGATTACATTCTAACGCCGGAGATGTGTGTGGAGCGTAAATCGATATCGGATCTGATCGGCTCCCTCAATTCGGGCCGTCTCTACAATCAGTGTATCCAGATGCAGCGTTACTATGCCAAACCCGTTCTACTCATCGAGTTCGATCAGAATCGACCCTTCCATTTGCAGGGCAAGTTCATGTTGTCCCAACAGACGACGGCCACAAACGCGGACATCATGCAGAAGCTTCAGCTCCTCACTCTGCACTTTCCCAAGCTACGTTTAATCTGGTCGCCCAGTCCGTATGCCACGGCCCAGTTGTTTGAGGAGCTGAAGTCGGGAAAACCGGAGCCCGATGCCCAACTGGCTGCCTCGCTGGGCAGTGATGAGGCCGCCATGGGCGTGGGCGAGCAGCTCCATTACAACGCGCCCATCTATGACTTTCTGTTGCGCTTGCCCGGCATCGACACTCGCAATGTCCATGGGCTGATGCGACATGGCGGCAATTTGCGTCAGCTGCTGCAACGGACGCAGGCGGAGCTGGCGGATATGTTGCAGTCGCAGGAGAGCGGAAGAATGCTGTGGGATAGCCTTCATGTTACGCATCTGCCCGATAAGGACGAGGTGTCCGGTTCAGCTGGCCTGTTGGCCGCAGGCAAGCAGCTCGGTCCCAATGCTCACAATCGCTTTAGGAAGGCGGCTGCAGCATCCTCGTCCAGAGGCGCATTTGCGCGTCGGGGCCGCCACTGATGCGAAAGTTTAATTTGTTCTCCTGTTTTTTTATTTTTTATTTTACATTAAAGTCCAGCAAGTCTGGAGCTGCTCTGACAAAGTGCAGAGTAAACAAGAAGCATGAAATTATGAAATTTTTAAACGCAGCAATTAACTTTGATGTGAATTAACATTCGCATTGGCGGAGTTCGAGTTCGTCTGGCCAGCCTCATTCGATATGCAACCGGGGACAGCAGCCGTCCGATTAATTAATATGCAACCATCGTGGAGGGAGTGGGTGGATGTGCTGGCTGGCTGGTGTGCTGAGCGGACCTTTGGGGTGCAATTTGATGCGCTCAAAAATCAATTTCAATTAATTTTTAATTGTCGCCTTTTTCCTCCTTGTTCCTCCTATGCAGATAGGAGAGTGGATATTCGATTTACAAAATCAAATTTTTACCTGTGCTTTTGGAAAGTTCTCTCTACTGATGATAATACAAATATAAGCACATACAAATGTTAAGATGTTTCTTATTACAATCGATTATATATGACATCTATGATATGTTTATTAATGTGAGTAATGCCGATTGACCCCATATTAAAAAGTATACCAAATGGATTCGCAAATACTCTGGGCTTCAAGTTCGTTTCAGACATCTAATGAACAAGCCTTGATACTGTTCTCAGTCACATAAAGTGAAGATACTTATCCAAAGAAAATCAAATAGGCTCTCTAAAATCAACTGTACTTCTAATGAGCACTCTTCATACGGCCCTTATCCCCACTGATGATAATCGTTTTCTAAAAGAAATACATATGAATCAGTGCTCTATCTACCCACTTCAGTTTATTTGTATACCCTGTACTTGAAGATAGAAATATCATACCCAGTAGTTTGTCCGTCTGTATGAACCTCAATAACTTTTAAACCATAATAGCTAGGGACCCGAAATTGGAGAATAATCTCAGCCATGCGTAGATCAAGTTTATTAAAAACGATATATATGGTGTCAATATTTTATATTGCTGCCATACGAACCATCGAAGTAAATATACCTTTTTTGTTTATTATGACACTATAGCCAAATTTGATACTTCATGGTTTTTAATACTGCCTCCCCAAAATCTGTTGTTTCATCTAAGTCGGTGCACCCCGCCTTGTAATTGTCTTTGGAACGATCATTGCGGAAATAAATAAAATTATAGGTACACATATGAAGAAATCATAAAACAAATGAATATTATGTTAACGGAGATAACATTTATCTGAAGCAATTAAATTATAAAATCATTAAAATTTCAAAAACAATCCATAATTATAGAGAATGTTTGGGTTATAGAACTGGACTACAGATGCACCTTTTATCTGCATTGCTGAGTTTTAATTGCCGTGATTACCAGCTGGCTCAAAAATTATATTTTCCAAAAACACAAATCATGAACTTTTTCAGAATAGCATAACCAATGAAAACAATCCATAAGTATACAAGAATATGTGTAAGTCGCAAATAAAGGATGCTGGTTTATTTAACTGGAAATGTAATACAAGTATATAGGAATGTTAAAGTATTTATTGTTGTTTGCTGTTATGTATTGCTTGTTGTAGATGCTGAGTTCTGATACGATGTATTTGGCGACGTGTTTCCCGATGCTTCTGCAATTCATTTAGAAATCATCGCAGGAGCGGAAGCGACGACGCTTCATTGGCAATTTCGGGGAAGAATCTTTCTGGTCCTTGTTGGGACTCGAGCCCGAGTCATTAAATTTCGGCTTGTCAAGTGGACCGTGACGAACTCTTGGCTCATCATAAGTGATCTGTTTCTTGACCTTCTTGTACAGTTCAGTCTCAAAGTTTGCCAACACCGGACCCTTTAGGTTCTCCATGCTTTCCCACGAGTAACTGGAACTTTGGTATCCAGTCCATTTCACATAGTACTGCGGACGTCCATCCTTAAAGCGCTTCTTCAGTATCTTTTCAACTGGGAAAATATAGGGCGTGCAGCGCTCTTTCGGAGCGCTGCGGCTTCTTTTACGGCGCTCTATTGAAGCGGGCTCGCCGCCGCCATTAGCAACATTTTTTTTTGCTGCTGCTCCATCTGCCATAATGAACCTATTTTTGAATTGAACGGATCGTATATCGTAATGCTAACAAACACCAAATAGGCTCCACTTACAATGCTTTTTAGCTGCAGTTGCAAATTAAAAAATCAAATTAAATGCCGTCCGACCTGAACAAATTTTGCCGCTATAGAGAAGAAGAAGAATCTCCGAACGAAAGCACGACAAGACAAGAAATGAAATTATCATCAGGACTGTCCACTCGGCCAGAAAGCGCTCTGCTCACCTAACCTCAAAATACCAATTTTAGGTCAATCGATAACTCAACAGTTACGTGCCGAAGCTCGGGCAAATCGGGTCACGCAGATTAAAGCAAGCACATGTATATAGTCGAAGGGAACTCAGTGACAACAACTTCCCAACTCGATCTAAACTGAGGGATGTTATTGTTAAGAGAAAAAAGAATGTTATTCTTGCGAATCAGGGGCAAGTATACTAACCATCTGCTTTGGATTTCTTTTAAATTTTAGTTTATGGCAACGATCGCCTTCAAATAAAGCTGTCGTTGTGGTATTTTTTTTATATTTAAACGATTCTTTAGAATCGATTAGAATCGGAGCTACCATTTGAAAAGGCTTTGGAAAAATAATACCGAACGAAAGCGTTTAAAGTAAAACATTTTAAAATAATTTTAAGAAAGTAAAACACTTTAAACTAATTTCAAGAATACTTGACCAAAAAACAGTCAAATCAAGCCAAAAAGCCAAATCAGATATGAGGAATTAGGTGTTTGCAGCTTTATTGGACATACACTGGATTATTTACGAAGCAGCTGTGGGCAGCTGAGCGATGAAAAATAATACCCCCTTGCTATTGGGTAACTCCAAAAAGAGAAAAAAGACTGTTTGTGAATTGCTAATTATATAAAGAACTGTTGTTTATATTTATAGTGTTTGCTAGCTGCATGCCGAAAAGGCTAAATGTGCCGATTAGGGATTGGTACAGCCAGCAGATATACAGATTGCGGGGACTCACATAATTCCTTCCTATTTTAGGCACTTCGTTGAGTGGAAATGCTACAATTTGTGATTTATTTCCGCCAAGTCCAGTGTTTTCAAGGCAGTACAGTGATTTAAATCAACAATCTTGCATGACAATCCTGCAATGGCAAAACGGCCATGGCCTAAACAAAGAAGTCTTTAGCTTGGAGCCAACGGAACAGTGCCTGTCTGTCTGGCTGCCTCACAGGCCAGCTTTGAGCCACGCAGTCTCACAAAAGGCCAAAACGAGCCGGAGAGGCGCCACAATGCCCGAAATCAAAGACCACTCGAACTTTCGTTGCGCTCGGGGCCACTGAAAATTAGCATTGGGGCCAAAAGCTGTTTTCGATTGCCGTTTGTTGTGGCCAAGTTGTGCCGTCGGCGGCTGCAGAGGTCGCATTGGCGGTGTTGGTGGTGCAGACAAACAAAGAGTGGGCGGGTGACAGATGGTGGTGCTGGTGGTGGTGGTGGTGTTGCTGGAGGTGGTGTTTGTGAGCTTAACAAAGCAAAGAAATCAACACAAAGCGCTGGACCATTCGTAATGGAGTTTTAATTGACGACCTGAATGGCGAACTGGCCGATTTGTTATTGCTCCTGATTTTGCTTTTGGGTGGCATTTTTATCATCATCCCGCTGTTTGTTTGTGCAACACAGTTTGCACAGTTGCCACTTGAGCTGCTTTGTCCGCCTGGCCGCTGGCATTTCGCGCAGTTTGTGCAACCGATTGGCAAATATGCTTTTGACACGGCGCCCCGAAAATTGAGTTTTCCAACGAAAGCGCCTGCAAGAATGCCACGAATTTGTAGCACACGCCATTGCAACTAAGCGCAGCGCCGCGCCGCGCCACGCCACTCGTTCAATGAGGCAGACATGACAAATAAAAAAAATAGACGACACGTCCGCATAAGTCGACACACGAACATACATGTCTATACGTGTATGTGCATGTATTAAAGCTTTGTGTGAATGCGTGAGCAAACGTGTGTGCCTGATCGGAAAATTCTTGAATTTGAAATTGAATTTCGTGAACATTACGACTGTCTAAATGATCGTAAGTTTCGTAAAGACGTCACAATTTACGGCTTCACAAACACTTAGGATGACACGCAAATTCACAAAAACATCGAACCTAAAGTATCCAATTTAGTCGAAGTTATTTGCATAATGGCATAATCTCAGTCGATGCCAAATATGAAATAGCATACGAGTATTAAAGAAGGGAATATCGTAATTAAGATTAAACATTAACACTGATCTGGTGAACAAACTCGTTAAGAGATCTGCGTCCAGTCAATGATAGTTCTGGAGCTGTGTTATAATCAAGTGCTTTCGGAGCTGATAAGCTGTTTAACTATAAAAAAAATGAATGTTATTTAAACAAAATTAGTGCGTGAGCGTGCGTGGCACGGATTATTATATATATATGTACATACATGCATATGTATATAGACAATTAAATAATATGCCATTATGCCGTTGATCTCTGCTTTGATTTTCTAGAGTTGCCCTTGATAACGGCAAGCTTTCAAAAGCTATTTAACGTTTATTAACACTGAAAAATATGGCAGCGCTGCGATCAGCTGTAAGATATCATTTATCTGCCTAACTAACGGAAATTTGCAGCAACAATGTAAAATAATAATTTATTAAATTTATTTGTGTGGGTCCTTTTTAAAATATTTATATTTTAGAAAAGTATTTCTATGCACTTTGCAATAGATTTGCATTTCTCATGAAAAATGAATTCATATATGTACATACATATGTATACAATAAATTGACTGAGCGTTCAATTTCTTAAGCAATGTTTTTTTTAAGGGTATAAAATATATTGGTCGAAATAATTAGCCAATTAGCTTGTTGGCTTTAAATATTAAATATGGTTCATTGCCTACTTTTGAGATTCATGACCCACCTTTTTCCACCTTTGCAAATTGTGAGCGCTCGGTCAAGTGTAGGTTTAATTGCAATTCTATAATAATTGGCGAATTCTCATCCTCCAGCATCAGAAAGCTCTTCAATAGAAAAACATACAGAAATAGAGTGACAGAGAGGGGGAGAGACAGATATTCAAATATAGAGACTCCGCGAATTAATTGGGTTTGTTCAATGATGGGAGGAAGGCGCATTCTTGTGTTTATATTACAAAAGCCACAAAGACAAAACCCGACGCGCAGTGTGAACTGAATAATCATTAATCATGCGAAAATTGGATAATAAAAGCTGCTTACATACATACTCGTAATCGCACAATCGCAACACTCGCAAATAATATACAATACGAGTATAAGCCGTGCACACAAATTGGAAACTCAGTCCCGATTTGAATTGACATTTTGGTGAAGTCACTTTAATTGTTGCTTGGAAAGCAATTATATTATTACACATCTACGGGCATTGAATTTAATTAGACGTAGTTTAATTCAAAGTCAAAGACGCTTCTCATTTGGCTGCTGGGCAGGGGGAGGGGGGGTTTGGTGAAGGAAAACGATTTTTGCCCAAAAATTCATTAAATACCCAAATTGCTGACCAAGTTGACTGACGGTAGGCCCAATAAAGGCTGAGGGCTGGGGGCCGGGGGCCGGGGCCGGGGCGTGGCACATGGCATGCATAAGCAATGGAAGCAGAGCTGTAAATTCATTAAATTGCAATGCCAAAATAGTTGAGAAACTTGAAAAGCATGCTGAAGTGGAAGTTTGTCAAAACACAGTGACACATGCAGTCTCAGAAACAGCAGAAACAACAGCAACAACAACAAGTCCAGCTTTGGCAGTGACAGAAGCAATAAAATTGTTGCTGCATTTCAGGCAAAGCGATCAGACACACATGCATACATATGTACAATGCGGCTCATATGCATAGAAACGTGTGTCCACGCAATCGACTCTCAAGTATGTATGTATCTGTTTCTGTCAGATAAATGGCAAAGCTATGTGTAATAATAGAACCTAAAAAGCTGCCTGGGTCTGGAATTTATATTATTTGTGACTTGGAGAAAAAGAAAAGTGTCAGAGATAGTTCCAACAAGGCAATTGCAGGTATACTTAATGTACTTGTATCCGAAATAAAGCGACTCTCGAATATGCTATAAGAATTTTATAAGAAATTTCATTGTTAAAAGAGAAAAAGCTGCTTGGTGGAGAAGGGTTTCTGGAGGTTCTGGAAAGGATATTTTAGCTGTCAAAGTATTTCTCTGTTGCGGATTGTCCTGCAGTTAAAAAATCGGGGATATATATCTAATGTATGCCAGATGAAAGTATAAGTTGAGGATAGTTTGAATTCTGACAACAAAGGTGAGAGAAATAGTAAGGTCAGTCCTGCAGTAAAAGGTCCTTCATGGATACACATAAATACATATATAAAGGATAGTGTGAGTTGTGTGCAAGAATCTTTGAGGGTATTTCGTTGACTTGCGACTGTGTACGGCACTGCATTTTAGATGCCATATTAAAATCAATTTCCTAGCAGTTGAGACAGACTCGTTATTACAGCAGCTCGTTTGCTCTGAGTGTTCATTCACACACACACATGGATACATACATACATACTATACTACAGATATGAACATGCATGGATATATGTACATATGTATATGTGTGTGTGGGTGTATAGATGCGTGAGTCGGCACAAATTGCTGATGTGAAAATACTTCCATTTTCCCAAAATGTGCATGGCCAGTGCAAAAATGCGACAGGCTGAAAAAAAGTGTAGCAGATTTTGAGCATTTTGTGGGGCACATTTTCAATTACAGCCCGAATACCGAATACAATTTAAACCAGCACCAGTACCAGCACCACTACCAGCACCAGCACCGACTGGGCCTTTCCTGAGCAGTTGTGCGTGAGTTAGCCTTTAAGCACACGCCTCTGCGTGCCTTTATCTCAAATGACAAATCTTGAAAACATTGCAACAAAGGCAGCATCACCATCGTCACACCAACAACTAAATAGGCCAACGGGCAATGTAACGGTATTGCCACGGCCAAGTGCCAAGTGCCAAAATGGCGAGCACCAATTTAAGAGCACTTGCTGTAAGCGGCAAGCGATATAATCGCCCGACGCCATCTTGTGCCGGAATTTCGGATGGCAGTACGGCGGTGTGGCGGTGCGGCGCAGCGTTGAGCGAGGAACAAAGTACAAATAACAATAAACATAAACATTAGAGAGATGTTAGCTTACGTATACTCGTCGTACTATGAATGTGCCATGGCGAGAAAAAGATTCAAATGGAAAGATTGTTTGGCATCGCAATAAAAACTTGCCGCTATTTTGATTTCTCAACCTTCCCTTCCCCTCCTTCTCCGCCTCCTTTCACGCTTTTAGGCGGATCTAAAGAATGGTTAAGGTATCGAGGACAATAGGGGGTGGTAGGTTATAACAGACTCTGATGAGTCATTCGTTGCTACTTCTTAAAAGGAATCATTTAAAAATTGTTGTTTTTTCTTTAGAAATTAAAATCTAAAGAACAAATAAATCAATATCATTTAAATTAAATATAAAATAAGTGCCTCGACTTCATCGTTTAATGAGTTGCTAAGGACTGCCCCTGTACAAATCTGACCCGCACTATAATATACTTAAGCTTTTTAAATCTTTATTTATTAATTGAGATCTTCATAGCTTCAAAGTAAAATCTTTCGGATGCAATGCACTTATGCCAACACTTTTCCAATCCTCCCCTAAAAAAAAAAATTTAAAAAGACAATAGAGAGTTGGTAGAGAGGTGATGTGGAGATGATAGAGAGAAGATGGACAAATGATGTAGAGACGATTGAGAAATAATAGACAAATGATATAGACACGATGAAGAGACGGAATAGAGATAATAGAGAGATGTTATACACGAAAGATAGATGATGGAAGCACAGTCGAGAAATAATAGACAAGTGATATAGAGACGATGAAGAGACGGAATACAGATGATAGAGATATAATAGAGAGATGATATAGCGACTATAGACAGATGATGTAGATACGACGGAAGGACGATCAAGAAAAAATAGACAAGTGATATAGAGACAATGGAGAAACGGAATAGAGATGATATAGAGATAATAGAGAGATGATAGAGAGATGACAGAGAGATGATAGAGAAATAATAGAGAGATGATACAAAGATGATATAGCGACGATAGACAGATGATGGAGAAACAATGGAGAAATAATATACAAATTATATAGTGCGGCTATTGTTATACATAGTATGTAGTTTATTGAAGTGTCTTGTCAGTGCTGGCTGGGATAACATGTTGGGGTTCTACAGAGCTGGTGAGAGCACATAGTTCTATCAAAAAGGTGAAAAAAAACGTGGGGAAGACTGGCTGTAGCATCGAAAAGGCGTCCGATTCGAATGGTTGCTATGCCTACTTGTAAAGCGAATGAATATGAAATTTTAAGGATCATCTTTTAGGTTAAACGCACAGAGAGTGTCTACAGAATACGGGCGAACTCGCTTCGCGTGCTCTCACTTGGCCTAGAGCGGTGCGAAGTACTGCCATTTGGTCTTCAGCAGAAGCTTGATGTGCTGGTGCTTCTCACGCTTGTTCTGGGTGGGATCATCGTGGTCCCAAACACCCGAGGAGAGAGTGTACTGGTTATTCTGGCGTTTCACAAAACCGTAGGCCCAGGCGGCAGTCAGTGTGTTGTCCACATCGAGCCGGATCTCGGCCACCGACTTATTTGTGATTTCTGCCACATAGCCAATTACCTCGTCCATGGTTAGAGGGCGGCGGAATATGATGAAGGCATCCAGTATTTGATCGCCATAATAGTAGCGCGACATCTCGTCCACTCGGGCGTAACAGGACGCAGGCGAATATTGAGAATTTTGTTCCAATAACTGTGTGGTATATACATATGTGTGTGTGTGAGTGTGTAGGGAAGCAGTAGGAACTCAGCTCTGACATCTGGAGAGTTATTTGGAAAACGTTACTCTGTGAACAATCCAAGTATCAGAGTCAACAGTTCCGAAACATTACAATCGACAACAGAAGTTTACGATGATAGCGATTAGTATACGTGATTCAAGAATGGTCGAACACATTGGCTAGTATTTGGAAAAATGTGTGCATTTTTTAAAAGTCAGCAAAAATGTTTCGTGAAATCAATGGCAAGTGAAGTTTTCTCGATGTCTGAATTAGGACGACATTTATATATATCCCTAAACATTAAGCCAAAACGAATCCCTATAGTAAACAAGAGAGAACGCTACAGTCGAGCAAGCCCGACAGTGTAATACCCTGTACCCAGGTAAACTTCCGTCACTGAGTTATATGCGCCCATAGCAGAAGCAAAAAGAGGAAGAAGAAGAGCGAACTTGTTGCTGCAGTTTGTGGGGGTTGTACTGTCGAGAATTTGTTTTGCTAATAACTTTTCTTAGAATTGACCGAATTGAATAAAATTTTATACAACAGTAGACAATTATATATAAATTATGTGTGCAAAGTTTGGTTTAGGTAGCATTTGAAATGTGGACGCTATTGACGAAATTCTGTAGCGGGGGAAGGGGGGGAAAATTAAAAAAAAAAACATAAACTCGTCCTTACTCGGACCTAGGAGAATCTGGATGCCAACTTTGGTTATTCTAGCTTTTATAGTTTCTGAGATCCTCGCGTTCATCCAGACGGACGGACAGACGGACAGACGGACAGACGGACGGACAGACGGACGGACATGTCTAGATCGATTTCTCTCGTCATGCTGATCAAGAATATATATACTTTATGGGGTCGGAGATGCTTCCTTCTATATGTTACATACTTTGCACAAACCTAATATACCCTTTTTACCCTACGGGTACAGGGTATAAAAATATTTTAAAAACATTTTCAGGCAAAATTACAACATGAGTTTTATATTTGATAAACATAAATGAAACTTAAAGAACAATATATGAGTTTTATTTTTTGCTCAAAAATAATGATTATTGGTTGAGTTGTAAGGTATAACCCAAAATTAATCATTATGTTGTAAGAGAATGAATAAAATTAAAAAATAATCATTTTTTATAATTTTTATAACACATGATCAAATAATAATAATAATTATTATTTTTTTTTAACGAATAAATCATTCACTTATAGTAACTTTGAGAAAGCGAGGAGTTTACAGAAATCCTTTTTAAGGATTATCTATGCATATTCACCATGATTTATAAATTTTAATTTTTATTCATTCGCTCACAATTTAATGATTAAATTTGAGTTTTACTTGAAAAATTAACCCATAATCATTATTGATGAGCAAATAAATAAAACTTATAAAATAATGATTAATCAGTGAGTCAAGGAAAACATTTTTCATTTATTAGTTTTCAATTAATTAATTGTTGATCATGAAAATAAAACTCAAAGCATAATCATTAGTTTATGAGTTTTATTTTTTTTGCTCATCAATAATGATTATTGGTTAATTTTTGAAGTATAACTCAAAATTAATCAGTAAATTGTGAGCGAATGAATAAAATTAAAAAATAATCATTATTTTGTAATTTTTTAAATGAATACCTAAACCGATTACAGTACCTGCTCATAATGATAACAAAATAGCATTCATTTTGATTCGTACCTGTCTATATAAAATGTAATAAACTACTTTTCCATAGGTCTATTGGGATTGGATAAATTGTGGCTTGGATTTGGATGTGGAGCACGGTAGATTGGTAGTTTGCATAATGTGTAATGAAAATCGTGTCTGCAAGTTTTGGGCAATTGGCGTGCAAGAATTTCTCACAAATGCATTACATTTTAGTTAGTCGCGTAGTCGACTCGTAGTTGCCTCGAACTGTGACTGTTTTTGTAGAGGGGGCGGGGCGAGGCAGTTAGTTTTTATTGTTTGTTTCCGTTCGCTAAGGACTTTGTGCTCGAAATCGCCAAAGTCAGCAACATCAAGTGCTTATGTACTCGTAGATGGCAATGGACTGATAAACGCCTCCGCACGCACCTTTGCTGGCCCAGCAATGCTCTCGGCTTAAATAGGAACTGCGCCAACTTCTAACGTGCCACTTCCGCTTCCGCTTGCACGGCCAACACAGCAACTGGGCAGCAACAAAATGGCCGAGGGCGACGCCATCATGGCCATCATGGCCATCACGGCCAACACTGACGTTCTGGCGTTGTTGTTGTTGCTGCTGCTGCTAGTTCTGTTGTCGTCATCGTCGCCAGCATTCCAAAAACTATTAAATCACATTTTACGAGCGTTAAGTGCACAATTAAAAGCATTTCGTTAATGTTGAAAATTTGGCGCTTGCTCAGTTCTTGTTGTTGTTGTTGTTGTTGTTGTTGTAGCTGTTGCTTCTGTTTCCATTGCTGTTGCTGTTGTTGTTCTTGTAGTTGTTGCGTTTGTTGCCTTTGTTGCCTTTGTTGGCCTTGTTACACAGAGCTTTCGGCCCCTGTTGTGAACGTAATTAAATTTTTAAGACTCCGGGCACGACTTGGGCCTGGGCCTGGGCCCGGGTCCGGGCCTTGCGTGAGTTCTGAGGGCGTATTGCTTTGCACTTTTGTGAGCGTTTTGTTGGGGGCTGGCTCGGCGCCACTTTCCTTTGACGTTAGCTCCTCGCCCCCTCCCAGCCAACTATTACTTTATTGCTTGTACAGAATAATCGATTATGGTTTGATGTTAACTTTTATGTAAGCACCAAAGTTCAACTAATAATAATGAACTCTCGACTGTCCTACTTGCATGCTTCAGCTTCGATAGGAAGTTAGGTATGTGGAAGCGATGTGCGTTCGAGGATATTTTAGTTTCGATCAATTATTTCCAGTATGTTGTATATACATACGAGTAATTGCCAAACCCCACAGCAAAATTCAATATTAGTTTATAATTCTTTGGTCAATCAAATATTGCTTCTCAATTAAAGTTTAAAGAAATCATTTAACTGACGTTTTGAGTAAATTGGATAATTAATGCTAAACAGTACAATGCAAATATGCCTACCATACTTCCAGGTATACATCGTTATACAAATTCATCAGTTAATGCTTTTGCCTCTTCTTCTAGTTCGGGTAGTTTCAGTCAAATAGAGCTTCACTGTGATTCTATGTTATCCGATTCCAATTACTTTTCCAACACCTTTACTCCTAAGTGTTATCGATAAGTCTGAAAAGGAAATTTATTATATTTATATATGTTTTTCTTATTCCTTTTTCAAAATTAGAATACTGCCTTCGATTAGTCAGAAAAGGAAATCTTATATTTGATAAGGTTTTTGTGCCCTAAAGTACATTTTATTTTTCATTTATGTATATTGTTTACTTGGTAATGGAATAATCTTTATTGTATTATTTTATTTTACGCTCTAATCGAAAAATTGAAACCATGCCTGCGCCACTGTTATTGATAAATAATAATAACAGAAAAACTTTAAAAAATCTAACTTAATTCCATTTTAAGGCGTAATAAATAATTTGTCTTTTGTATAGATATTTGATTTAAGTGCAATCCTTTAGATGTATTCTATGGATAATTGTAACATTCCATTATTAATTTACAGCTGGATTAGACTGCCACATTAGCAGTACACATGTTTAATAAAATATAGTAAACATTTTTTTATTAAAAAAAAAAGATTGTCTCTGAATAAAATTCTCAATGTCTGCACTCATTCTCTCCCTCTCCCTCTCTCTCTCGCTATCGACTTTGGCAGTCGATCCACTCGTGCCCGCCATCAGCGTCATTAAACGCGAAGTGAAGTAACAAAACGCAACTAAGTAAGTAATATGAACTTAGTAGGCGTGTGAAGCACGCACTTAATGCGATGCGGAGGTGGATGTAGAATGCAGCTCGTGTCACTCACACCACTTCAACGCTTAGTGGAGAGAGAAAACAACGCACACACACACACGCACACACACGCACACACACACACACACACACAATCTCACACACACGCCTAAGTGCGGAAACATGTTCAAGGGTGTTGAAAATTGAAACCAACGTGTTACATTTTCTTTTTCCTTTTTATGCTATTTGTTGTTGCTGTTTTTTCTTCTTTATTGTTAAATTTGTTGCTGCTCTGTGACGTCAGCAGTAGCGTAGCAAGCGTGGATTCGAATGACGTTTGACTGCACAAAGGGCGTTCCAGCACCATCTCTATGTTCCCCTACCGCCCTGGCTAGCTAGCACGAAAGTGAAGCGAAGCAGAGCCAAAAGGTAGCCCTGACGTTGACACCAGCATACGCGCCTGATATGTAAAAAACGAGTAAAGGGATCGGGGTTGGGGTTGGATGTGGGGTTGGATGTGGGGTTGGTGTTGGTGTTGAGGATGTACCACTATTTGAAATATGTCAGCACTTCCGGCGTTTGTTTGTGCAGTGCTCTGATAACGCGCTGCCAGCTGCAGCGCCTTTGCTTATGCTGCGTTTTCTAAATGCGTCAAGGAATAGACAGAGGCGAGGCACAAGGGTCAAAGAAAGAAAGAGGGGGTGAAAGAGGGGTGCAATGATTGCAAGCTTTAAAGTGAAACATTTAGTTTGCTTTATGTTTGGACATGTTGCGCTCCCTGTACGTGACATTTTGCGGAAATGGAGCAAACACGATGATGAGCACTATAGCCAAAGAGGGATGGCTAGCTAGAGAACGAAAGAGGGAGCGAGAGGGATCAGCGAAGAGAAGGGGTGCAGCGACATTTTGTTTGCCAGTTGACTGCCGCCTGCTTGTCTTTGTGCCCCGCTACCTCACTGACAGACTGTCGGACGGACAGACGGACAGACGGACGGACGGACAGACTTTGCCTCTGACTCCGGCTTTGGCTTTTTTTCTTGATAGACGATGCTGTTCTGCCTTCTTCAAAAACGACATCCGACTGCTGCCATAATCTGTTTCCAGAGTTTTGATTTCCACAAAGGCTCAAAGCAGAAAAGTTCTCAAATTGTTGCAATCGAATTAATTGTGAGCTTAAACAAAAGAGCTTATACATAGTAGTAGCTTATATGTAAATGGAGCATAGAGGTCGGGAGCCCGTTTGGCTGAGTAATGAATAGATAAGTATTTCGATTTATTGATATTTGCATCGGGCTGTTAAGAATTTCAAAGATTTTCTTTATGCATTGCATTCTCCATTATAAATAAATGGGTACCTATCATACGTTCTTTTTGATATTAGTTTTCTTATTAAGGCTAAAATGTTTGTTGCTTCAGAGTTGTTGAGTTTTCTTTTAATAATAATTTCCACATTCTTTGCTGCTGAGTTGCTTTCCCTGCCAAAAGCTACAACAGGCATCCCATCCAACTCATAAAGTATACAAATAACGACAGTCTGGGTCTGTCCCTGCTAGTCGGCCTGATATTGGAGGAAGCAATATCATATATATATATATATCTATATATATATACTTGAATATAGCAAATTGATGAAATGAAAGTGCAGCTCTGCTCGCGGATTGCTGTAATTTCACGGCTGACTAGGAATAGCAAAGCCAATGCGACTTATGGTTGTTTGGCTTTTTCGTCTTCCGCATTTACCTTCTGCGCTATACCCTACAATGGAAGATAAACTCCATTTAACAATAGTCTGCAACAGTGAAAAGAAAGGCGTCCATGAACATCGTAGGAAGATGAAAAAAAAAAACCAAAAGGTGGTTATTCTTAAGCAATGATTTCTGCTCAAACCTACTTTTATTCGATTTAAGCAATTAGCAGTCTTTACAAATTTTTGATCGGCATTTTGAGCTTTTACTACTAAACGAGTATAAGTTGTTCTTTTTTTTAATTACTTCCGGTTTTGATTAAATCTTGTTTATTAGCAGGTTGCAGAGCATTTCATAGTTGAAAACATCCTTACGTGCTTACTTTGTTTTGCCCGTCAATGCACGCGTCTGCAAAATGTTTTTCATTTCATTTCCTTCCATTTCATTTCATTTGGTCGCCAACATGTGGCAGCCAACTGCGAATCATGGCTTAAAGCTAATGTGCAGGTGAATAGCTCGTGTGCGTAAGTTCAAACATGCCATTAAATAAATACAATTTCCAAAAGAAAATTGCGAAAATGCTGCAAAGAAGCTTCCAGAAAAAATGCATAATTCAAACTTAGTGCAAACTGTGTGTGCTCTGCGCTCCTATGAGTGCGAGTGAGCGTTTAAATCAAATATTGACAGGGGCTTTGAATAGAATGTACGGGTATTTGTGCAGTACCTGTAGTTCGCTGGCCTTGTTCCTTAACCAATTTCTAGTTACTGGCGAGTTCCTCGACAAGTGGAGCTGAAGTCGCTCGAAACTTATAGAAATGAAATCATTTCTTAGGATTTATAGCTGTGGACCACACTTGGACTTCTTCTTATGCCAGATTTGCAATCAAGCTATTTGAAGGCACAAGTACATGTCTCTTTTCTTCATAAATTTCTGCCACTGACTGTAGAAAAAATGGTGTCAGGGCTACACGCTTTAGAAGTGAAGCTTAATGGCTCTATTGGAATGATTTCATTTGAGTGCATTTTTATTTTAGATTGGTGAGAGGAGCCTTTATAACTATTCATCAATGATAACTTATAACTATGGCCAATGTAAATTTTGCTTGAAATGAATGACTAGAAAATGATTGTCGCTTTCTGTTGTCTTAAAAACGCTATGAGTAGCTAGATAACCCGCCAGAATATGGCAAGCAAAGCAATCATAGCTATCGTAGCTAAAGAAAGCGTAATAAATCCGCTAAAAATCCGACAGAAAATGTCTAGAAACCCCATCAAAAATATATAAAAAAGCCGCTAAAAAGTGGTTAGAAACACTGCTTATTTAAAGCTATTAAGCCCGCTAAGAACTGTATGATGGTTGTCGATCCAGCTCTCTAAAGCCTCAGACAACGCAGTTCTATTTCGCATTAAAAATATTTCTGAAATCAACAAAAACCACAGCAAATGGCGACACTTAAAAATCAAGACCTACCAGGTAGGTATGAAAGCAAAAGTTTGTTTACAGTTCAGATTGTACGGTTAGGTTTCGTTACAGAAAAGGTTGCCGCTCCAGCAGACAAAAGAAATTTCACTTCAATCAATACTTTTAGTCAAAATTACATACGTGGTGTGTTCAAAAAGTAAGGTGACTTTCAATTTTCACGGCCAACGTATGTACATTCGACTATAAATTTGTTGTTGTTGTGTTGGTACACATGTCCCGAACTTATGTTCACAGTTTCAAGTAAATAACATAGTTAGTTTGTTTTTGACAGATGAAAAGGTTAGGTATGTTTAATATATAGGCTGCCGATAGTGTGGAGTTGTACTTTATTTAATGGCTGTTTAATGCTTTGTTTTTGGTTAATATTTTCAATTTTAAATCCAAGTAGTCCAAAATTAGTCCAGTAGATGCTTCAAATGGGGCACATTTTCGTTCCTCGACTGCCACTTAAACATCTTTCTGTTTAATGCTTGCTGTGCCTTTAAGAAGAGCGACGGGGGAAACGTATACCAATTGTTTAAATAAATGCCTCATTTAAACCTTAAAATCTCAATAAATAAACAGAAGAATTAAAGCTCAAGCTCCTCGTCCACAGCTTAGGAGGTTGATTGTTGCCAAATTGTCCCTTAGACGGGGATTTAAAGAATTTCTGCTTAGCAGCAAGCCCAGTTGGAGCATACTTGAAATAGAATATACCCCAAAACTATTTTGCAATATCTTGAATTATGATCAGCTTCACCGAAAATTTAGTTGAACTGTGACAAATTGGTTTCTCTCTGGTTTTCTTGATTAAATCCCTTCCAGTGTACTGCAGTTCTTGTTGCCAATTTCTATCAAATTGTTTGTCCTAACGCGGCCATTTCGTTTAAAGATCGTATAGTATTAGTTGTAAGAGACGAAAGAGTTAAAAACATACCCCTATTTTAAAACATGCAATTTTTCTTGAAAATATTTAACAAATGCATCTACTTCTTGCGATTAATGTGATAACGACATGTTAACATAGTTGCGAGCATCCTGCTCGAGGTATGGGCCGTAAAGCTCCATCAATTATTCCCTCAGATTGTCGTAAAAGGCATCCTTAATGTTGTGGGACTCCATTAGGTCGTTGAGGTCCTCCATTCTTTTCCTTAATAAATAGTCTTTCGGCACAATCCATTCTTCATTGCAAAGTAAAATCTTTGATCTTTTTTCCACCCTGCCGTTCTTAACACCTTTGTTCTTCTTAGTTGCAATTTTACTTTGAACCTTCTTGGGTGCCATTTTTGCGATCGATCTTCTTTTGTGTATGTTATTAGTATGTGGTTTTTATTTTATATTTTTAAATTCGAGTTCCGACTTTTTTCGATGTGTCCTGTGTGGAGTTTAGAATACGAATGAGGAACACGTAAGCTGTAGCTTACAATTAATATGACATGATTTTCAAAGCGTTCTCGACCTGTAAATAAAAAGCCCAAAAAAAGAATAAACAGGAAAGGAATGATAAAGTCGAGCGAGCTCATCTCTTAAATACTCTGTACCTCCCACAACAAAGAAAAAAATGGTAAAAGAAATTCTTTTAATTAATTTTAAAAAATTATTCAGCAGAAAAAACACAAACTTGTCCTTTCTCGGACTTGGGAGAATCTAGATACCAAATTTGGTTATTCTAGCTCTTATGCTTTTTGAGATCCTTGCGTTCATACAGACGGATAAACGGACAGACGGACGGACGGACGGACAGACAGACGGACATGGCTATATCGACTCGTCTTGTCATGCTCATCAAGAATATATATACTTTGTGGGGTCTGCCAAACCTTCTTCTGCCTGTTACACACATTCGCACAAAACTAGTATAGCCTTTTACCCTTTGGCTACAGGCTATAAAAAGGACGAACCTAATTACTAGAGCCTGTATGGATCGAACCAATTATCCATAGGAACGAAAGAGCACATACAATAATATACATATATAGCAAGATATGTCATTGTAGTTTATTTATTGGCTGTTCAGCGAAACGAGAAAACATATTTTCATGCTTTGTTTTTGACTAACACTTTTAATTTTAAATCCAAGTAGTCCAAAATTAGTTTAGTAGATGCTTCAAATGGGGCACATTTCGTTCCTCGACTGCCCCTTAAACATCTTTCTGTTTAATGCTTGTTGTGCCTTTAAGAAGAGCGGCAGGGAAACGTACTTGTATAATAATTGTTTAAATAAATGCCTCACTTAAACCTTAAAATCTCAATAAATAAACAGAAGAATTAAAGTTCAAGCTCCTCGTCCACAGCTTAGGAGTTGCTAGTTGATAGTTGCCAAATTTTGTACCCCTAGATGGAGATTTCAAGAATTTCTGTTTAACAGCAATCCCAGTTGGAGCATACTTGTACTTGAAATAGAACATACCCAAAAATTATTTTGCAAAACCTTGAATTTTGAGCAGCTTCACTGAAAATTTAGTTAGGCTGTAACAAGTTGGTTTCTCTCTGGTTTTCTTGATTAAATCTCTCCTGTTTGTCCTAAAACGCTGCCATTTCGTGTAAAGATCGTTTAGTATTAGTTGTAAGAGACTAAAGAGTTAAAAACATACCCCTACTATTTCAAAACATGCTGTCCTTCACTTGATTTTTTTCTTCAAAATATTTAACATGGCATCTACTTCTTGCGATTAACCTGACGACGACCTCGACGGCTTCGACATGTGCGGCAGTTCTTTGGACGCTTCTTAGTGTTAACGTAGTCGCGAGCGTCCTGCTCTAAGTATGGGCCGTAAAGCTCCATCAGTTCTTTCATCAGATTGTCGTAAAAGGCATTCTCAACGTTGTGGGCCTTCATTAGGTCGTTGAGGGCCTCCATCCTTTTCCTTAATGGATGGTCTTTCGGAACAACCCATTCTTCATTGCAAGGTGAAACCTTTGATCTTTTTTCCACCCTGCCGTTCTTAACACCTTTGTTCTTCTTAGTTTCAGTTTTACTTTGAACCTTCTTGGGTGCCATCTTCTTTTGTGTATGTTATTAGTATTTATTTTTAAAATATTCTTAAATTCGAATTCCAACTTTTTTCGATGTGTTGTGTGTAGAGTTTAGAATATGAATGAGGAATATGTAAGCTGTAGCTTGACATTAGTATGACATGATTTTCAAAGGGTTCTCGATCTGTAATATATTGTGTAAATAAAAAGCCAAAAAAAAAGAATTAAAGACGACGAACCTATTTACTAGCGACTGTATGGATCGAACCAAATTCCCACACTACTATACATATATAGCAAGATATGTCATTATCTAAGCCTTTGAGACAAAATTAAATCCTTGGACTTTCTACGCTCTACGAATTGTAAAGTGCTTTATTTTGTGAATGAATTCGAGGTGGTTCTACGCTACAGAATTAGCATTACTACTTGTGTACCGATTGTTTCTGATTACTCCAGATCGGAACGTATTGTTTTAAAAATTACAAATATCTTTGTTAATTTATTTAATTTTTTTGTTTCTTTTGGTTTATTGGGAGCCTGGGCGCTAATTATATATTTTTTGAGGTCTGCTGTTATGCTCTCTTGAAAAGATCAGTTTATTACACTTAAGTGGACTCCTTAGAAGGTTTCTTTGACTTCGGATCATTGCAGAGTCCCTCTTACTACTCTGACACTCTTAGTATTAATGCTTTTTAATCGGGTATGATCTAAAAAATGGTTTTTAAATCTGAGACTTGCTTGGCAAATGGTGCAAAATTATAGCATATTTCTGTGGTGATGGAAACTTAAATGTGCGGCGATCGTTCTCAGTTCGTTGGCGTTGCAGCTAAAGCCATTTAAAAAACAAAAAATATTTTCATAAATGTTACTGTTTCTTGTAATTTGCTGGCAGCTCGCCATGAATATTCCCAGGTGGACGCGATGGAAGCGCTCTCCGGCATACGTGGCGTATGCGTGACATGTGGAATAAGCGCTCGCTGCGCATAACAAATAGCGACCCATTGCACACACACACACACACACTCACTCACACACACACTCACTCACACACACACACACAGATATAGGAATGAAATAAAAGCGTAGACATACAATCGGCGACAACAATCGACCGTGCACGCTTAATAATGCAAAATTGTGAGAATTGTGCAGGCAACTTCAGTTTCGAGCGGGCGCTCAATGCTGTGGGGGAGAGAGGTGGGGGGGGGGCGTAGGGCTACTGTACGGTTGGGTGGATGAAGTGTACCTGAAACCGTTATGAAAAGTTGATGAGCGCAGCTTGTAAGCCGCTTAAACAATGCAAGTATGAAAAACTAGTGCGTACATTTAATTTAGTTGCTGGCCATTTGTTTTGACCGTACTCGTAACTTTTAAATTTTTGCTTAAAAAATAATGTAAAAGCTAATGGAACGGATGATGATGCTTCAAGGAGCAAACTTTGTTCTGTTGTGTGCAACTTTTTTTTGTCAGCCACTCCTCCGCTCCGCACCTTTTATTTACTCAAGCCAAATGCCGATGTCGCCAGGACATTTACTCCTACCACTATTGATAGGCCAATGATGGCCAAAGCCGGAGTCGGAGGAGGCTGCTGAATCGAAGCAGCGGAAAATACATTTTCAAGATCCGGGGGGTGGGGCAGTGGGCGCTTCGGTTGCTTTGCAAACTGCGCGTGCAATTGTACAATTTCATTTTATTTATTTTGCGTTGCTGTCGCTGTTGTTGTTGTTGTTTTTGCTGCTGTGTAACTTATTTTGCTCATTTACATTTCCTATTTGGCGCAAGTAAATGTTGTGCAAGCAATAAAAGTGAATGTGCGAGCAGACAGACAGACAGACAAACACACGCAGACACAGACAGACAAACAGACAGACAGACAAACAGACAGATGGAAGGAAAAACGGGAAGCAACTTGGTATTCACAGCTTGAGGGGCTGTTCTATTCTGGTTCTGGCTATGGTTCTGGTGGAGGAGCGCAGGAGCATTTGTAGCAAGGCGCCCTACAATATTTTTTTTAATGCCTTTTTTGTTAAATATTAAAAACGTGCCATTTACTGAGCCCCAGCAACTGGCAAAAACCAAGCTAGCAGGGAGTTCGAGGAGAGACAGCAGTTCAATGAACCGAAACCCAGCAACAAAGGCAGCCAAATAGAATTGACTCTACTTTGTTCGCGGACGGCCTAACAACACTTTTCCATATAGACATGACGAATGAATGAACATATTCTAAAAAAAAACACACATCAAATGCGATGCAATTGCATTTTTTTTTTGTAAAGAAATAAGAAGCTATAAATAAATTGTGTCTCTTCAGAAATTGATTCTTTTTGTTTTGTGAAATTAAAAGCCTCAACAGCTTATCTGCAATGCATGCGCACAAAAGAGGAAAAGTTTATTCTATCATCCAGCACAGAATGAAACTTAAAACCTGAAAGTTTATTTATATTTGGCATTTCCCAAGAGATGGCACTTGCGGAAAAGTCGAAAGTTCAATGTGGCTTACAATCGGGCGGGGGGTCCCGTACACTCGTACACTCGTACACTTGTATGCCGGACTTTGGCCATTAAAAAGCAATGCACTGGCTGAGCTTAGCCTAACTAGGCCAGCTTAATTGGCCCGCCCAGAAAACGCCCACCGCCCCCGCTGCAGCCCCTTGTATGGCTCGTTGCATGTTAACGACACGCATAAATTAAGGCACAGTGTGAACATAGTGACGCTTAATAAGCACATGCCGTAAAGCCCGAAAGTATGCAGCAAATTTTGCTGGCATGCCATTTACGCAAAATAAATGCACAAAACTTTTCGACGAAAGCGCTCCACCAACGCCGTCGCCGACGTCAACGCCAGCTGAGCGGAAAAGCAGAAAAGCATGCCAAAGCAAGAGTCTTTAGCCCTTAAAAAAATGCAAAAAAAAGTGAATGAGAAAGTTAAAAAAAGAGCGAAAAGTGGGCGTTCGCATCAAGGCTGGGAAAGTGCAGGACAGGGCTCGCAAATGAAATCAACAAACTTTGCAGGCAATGGCCAGCAGCTAAGGCCAAACTTGCCTCAACTACTTAGCGTCACCAGCAGTCGGCCAAAGGACTAGCGTCCAAAAGCCGCCGTCCGGCTGCCAATGCGCCGCTTATGGCCACATAAATGCGATAAATTAAAATGGCGTTGCATGTCCGCAGGCGTTGCTGCTGCTTGCTGCTTGCTAGTTGCTGGTTGCTGGCTTCTAACTGCTGCCGACGACTGCTAAACGAGACCAGCGACGGCGACAAGTAAATTAAATAGAATGACCCAGAGTGTGAGGCACAAATTTTTGTGCGCCATTTGGTTTTAAATATAAACAAAATACATACACACACACATACACGCGCCCACAAATTACATAGGTACTTGTATATTATGTGTATAGAAATAAAAAAAAATAAAATAAAAGCACGGCCAAATGTTTGGGCTGTAAAAATTGTTTACGACCACTAAAAGGGAAACCGCGAAGCACGATACACAACATGGCAGTACACACAGCACTAAGCAGAGGCTATACACTATACGCTCTACACTATGTACATACCAGTATGTGTGTGTGTGTGTGTGTGTGGGTGGCTGAGTATTGGTAAGTACGAGTACGTGTGGTTTGTGCGTTAGTTGTTAACCGGAAGCTTGCGGTTGAGCAACAGACGCGTCGCCATATTGCAAATGTTTATGTTTATGGCGGCGACTTGCGACTGAGACTAAAATTCGAGCGTGTCATTGACACTTTAATGGTGTTGAACAGTTGGATAAAGACTGAACGACTGAACGACTGAATGACTGAATTACTGAATGACTGAATGGTGTGGGTAGGTTTGCTGGAAATGGAGCATAGCATATAAAGCTTAATTAGTCTGACTATTATAGTTTCGGACCACATTTTATGCATAGCTGATGCGTTGAGACTCTGTGCATTTTCTTTAATAATATAATATCTAATTATTGGGTACATAGAGATTACATAAGAGTAGGATTTGCATTTTTTTCAAGCCAACATTTTTTAAACAATAATTAATCTTTAACTTTAACTTTCAACTAGCATTAACTGTACTTTTTAAAAAATAAATTATCAAATTATTGGGTACAGAGCATACAACTTTGCTCGACCTTAAGGCTATAATTGGAATTCTCCTGCATTTTTTTTTCAAGCCATAATTTTTTGCATAAAAATTAATCTGTAATTTTCAAACTTTCAACTAAATGTGAAAAATGAACAACTAATTTTTAGAGGCATTTCCGTTAAACTCATCTAACCTTTTCGACCAAATGTAACCCCATCAAAAAGAAAAATATCTGTGATAAACGAAGCTAGTCTTTGGTCTAAGCTGAGCGTCAGCTTACTTCAGAGAGCGTTCCTCACCTATCTATACCTACCTTACCCAACCTTGATTTCGCTAACCGTTGGTACTTATTCTGACCCAAATCCTATAGCACCTAACACAACTTTATTTAATCATAGCTTGCTGACCTTATAGGTGACCGCCTGTAACCATATTTGCATATCCTTTGTGTTCCTAACTTCCTAGCCTGCCTAGCTTCCTCGGTTGAGCCATTATACCAGTTTACCTGGCGCTTAGCTTATGCCCCATTCGCTCATTTCTCGCAGGCAGATGCTGCAGAATGCACAAATCTCGTGCCTCTTAGCCAACAGAATTCCAAAATAAAACCTAAAATCCGCGCAACACCAAATCTCCTGCCTAAAATTATACAATGCCCAAGCTTTAAAGTAGATTACGCGAAATTTGCGCGCAAGCACTAAAGCCCAGAACGGACATTAATCAAGGCAGTGATGGCAAGGAGGCATGGAGGCAGGGTAGAGCGCGCCTCTGTTTTTTTTTTTTTTTTTTTTTTTATTCTAAATAGTGCACGAAGCCCATTGTGGAACGTGCCCTTCCCACTTGCCTCGTGCACCATGCACCGTCTATATAAATTGCCAACGTGCAGGAATGCACGAAACCCTTTGGGTTTATGAGATTTTTCATATTGCTTCTTGGCCGTTGGTCGCTGGCCACATGGCATCGCATCTTGTTGTTGGTTGCTTTCCATCCTTTCCGTCTCCCGCCCAAAAATTAACATAATTTTTCAATTGTCTCTCCGTTTCAGTTTCTTACAAGCCACGTACTCCGAATCGCATTTCGCAAATTTATGGTTTAAGCATTTCACTGTAACAGCACTTCGACAAATGAGGCAGAGAAATAATTCCTGTTGGCCGACCAGTGCTGCTCTTCTGTATATATTCGTCTCATAATTGCCAAAAAGGAATGCGAATACAAGTATTGCCATTAAAATCGTGTTGACAGACTCTGTGACCCATATTTTTCAAATATTACTATATGACTATTATTAGAAAGAACAAACTTGTGTAAAGAAAACTTTAATATTCTTTGGAATTGACTACAGAATGGCCTAAAGACTACTAGAAATAAGACATAGTTGCAAGCTAAGCTGAAAACCCATCTGCAAAACTAAAAAACCGAATATTAAAAAACGACATAAAACTAAAAAATTAAAAATTAACAACAAATTACTAAATGAAAACAATAATAATAAAAGTAACATTAACAAAAAATTAACAAATATTAATAAATAAATAAAAATAATAAAACGAAAATAAAAAATATATTTAAATAAAGTATGATAAAGTAGCAATTAAACTAAATAAATAGTTTAAGAATCAAAAGCTTCAAGTAAAAATTAAATAAAAATGAATTCAAATAAAATCAAAATGAAGTATAATTAAATGTAAAACGAATCAAATAAAAAGCAAAAATAAATAAAAATGAAATAAAATTAAAAATAAATAGATTCAAAAGAATTTAAAATTCATTCAGGTATGATGCCTCAACTTAATGGATTCTAAGAGAAAACTAAAATGATAATAAATATAAAATAAATCAAATTAAATAAAAATTAGATAATAATAAATACAAAATAAAATTAATTTACAAAAAAGATAATGGAAACTTTAATTAAAAATACAATAAGTAATAAATAATATAAATAAATTTAAAATAAATCAAATTAAATACAAATTACATAATAATTAAATTAAAAAATACAATAAAAATCAAATTAATTATTTATTATTAATTAAAAATAAAAAGAAAACTACATTTCAAAATAGATAATTGAAACATAAACAAATATTATACAAATTAAACGAAATAAATGTAAATTTATAATTCATTCAGGTATAAAGGTATAAAGAGAAAAATGATATGCCTTTATAGATCATTAAATTAAGACATATGTGTATGTTAAATGAAATATTGAACGATCAGAGTATATACTTAGTATGTATGTACGTGTAACTAAGGTTATGGAAGGACAGGCTGCACACCAACTTATTAAATTTCCCAAATATATCAATTTATTTTGAAACATTCAAACCAACAATAACATTCAAGCAACAATTCTTGTAATTAAATCCGATTTAATATTAACTTTTCATCAAACAATTTAAAATGTGATGTATTTTGAGGCAAAGTATGTCTGAGTGTAAATAAAATAAAATCCGAATCAATATATTTAATATTGAGCATCATAGTAAGTATTTTGAAAACTAATTGAACCAACAATAAACACATTTGGCAGACAGGCAGATCGACACTACTATATCCAGAGGGGTTCTCCCTCAGTTTAGTTCATTGGTGAACAGCATTCCACAAAAATGCAATCTTCATTTGAGCCGCAAGGCTTAGGAACAAAAGACGAACGGGTGTGAAGTACAAGTACATGTGATGGGTTCTGGTTTAGGCACACTCTCGAATTTTTCTGCCCCATTGTTTTCACTCAATCTCGATTGAAAAAACACACATTTCCATTTCCATTCCCATTTCCATTTACTTGGCGTCTATGATTTCAAATGCTCAATGTTTTTTCTCATTGATGGTCAAATGCAGGCCAAGTCAAGTCAACTCAAGTCAAGGCAAGGCAATCCAATCTGAAATCTTGAATCTGGAAATCCCATGCCCCACGGCTCGACAGCGTGCAGTGTGCAGCTTGCAATGCAAGTATGTAGTATTTGGCCAAGACTTCCTTCACAGCTTGCCAAATATTTTTGCTTGATTCGAAGTAAAGGCAAAGCAGCAGCCACTACGATGGGGAAAAATGAATCACGTTCGATATTTATGCTACTTCTGCAGTTGCCATTCCTTGGCTTGGCCGGGCAGGGCTTGGCTTGGCTTGCATCTGCCACCATCTTGAGCCCGATGCCCTGCGGTAAAATTATTTCATTTTGTGCATGGAACTGGGTCGGGAATGGGGTCCAACTCCATCGCTCTAACTGCTTGTGTTGGGCCATAACTGTTATTGGCATGCAATGACATGATAACCCCCCCTCCTCGCCATCCAACTTGTTGCTGTTGATTTGATTTTATTGCCAGCGCTGCAGGCACGGGCTGGGCGCCAATGCAGGCGGGCGGGCAATCCTGTCAAGCAAAAATATTTAATGGCAATATTGCATTCCCAATATGTGCATAGCATACACCAATGGAGGCATGCGTGTGTGTGTGTGTGTGTGTGTGTGGGACTGCATCGTAAGGAGCCATCGCGAAACCTGTGCGGCCAAGGAGCCGTCACGACGTATGTCGTCATTCGTTCCTTTTGCCTTCTCAGTCTCAATCCCAGCTCCAGCCCCAGCCCCAGCAGCAGAACCAGCCGCAGCAGCCGTGGGCAAAAGTACGTTTAACAAAGCCACTGAAAGCACAGCAAATAAATTGGTTTGCGCTTGGATGGTGATGGGGATGATGATGATGATGATGATGATGATGGATGGTGAGGTAAATTAGATAGGTTTTCTCAGCACTAGTAGTCAGCTGTGTCAGGACTGTGAGTCAGACCGCGTCAGAATATGTCGCGAATGCCTTTAAATTGTTTGCCCAATAGCTCTTAACTAATTACAAAATAGCCTCGGGGGCAAACAATTTGATAGATTTAAGCTGTTGCCTAAATTCCAATGCCAATGCGTTTAGGAATGTGAGAAATTTATTCAGTTTGAGTTCAAAATGCCATTACCAACGAATATGTACGGGAAGAAAACCCATCCATAAAGCCCGTCGACGGGAAATTAATCAGAAAGTGGCTTTAAATTACCATCCACTACCCCACTACCCCATTGCCTAACCAGTCCACCTTGCAGGCGACACAGCGGGGGTTGTGCCCAGAGCTAATTTCTCTTCAGATTCAAGTTATACGAGCATAGGACTTGCCGCAACGCTTCTATGTACACAACTGCAATGAGAGTCCAAATTCCAAAGAAACTAAAAACTAACAAAACAGGAATTGCATAAATTGTAATACGATATATACTGCATTCAACCTACCATTTACAATACTCAGCTATAATATTTATTTATCTACAAATTAAATTTCAGTGCCTAAGAGAACGTAACAGGCTTACAACATTATCTAATAATATTATTTGTTTATTATTAATTTATTGATATTATTTATTTATTTATTTATTTATATTTATTTATTTCTGACAAAGAACTGGCAATTTAAAAGCATGGAAACTTATAAAAATAATAGTAATAGTCATTCAAATAAAAAAGGAAAAAAAAACAATTAGAAATTAAAGTTATAGAATTAGAAAAGTTCTTTAAAAAGAGTAGAGATGTTAAAGTGCAAGTACTAAAATATTGGAAGTTTATTTTAAAATACATAAAAATGTTATTATGATATGCGTTACAACAAAAACTATAACAGTAATTATCTAGCAATGTGAAACAATTATAATTTCTTTCAGGGAATTCATAAAAAGTTGATAAATATTCGGAAGCAAAAGACATTTCACTTGGGAAAAAAAATAAAACTGGTTCGAAGTATAGGCAATCGAAACTGAATTTGAAATAAAAAGAAAAAAAAAAACAATGATTACCAATGGATGCCGTTTTCCCCCCTTGGGGGTTAATTTTGGCATCACCAGAACTTATGCGGCAATGGCCGAAATACACAAATAGATGCGGAATCAAATTTGCTATATTTGGAAAATCCTCAATATTTATTGGGTTATTTGCTTAATAAGAGGCAATACACTGAGTTTATAAATTTTATTTCCACATTAGTTGATCACATTCGGAAAAATGAAGATGCCTAAATGAGTTGCTTGTTATCGAAATAAGTGCTTGAATTAGTCGGCCTAGGAGGTAACGTCAACAACCTGTTAGTCTTTTATCTTACATCTACTCATTTGTGTAGCTAAAAAAAAATTAAACAAAATTTTACTCTCAGCTACAATTTCTGAGCAAGCGGTAAGTGCGTAAGTGGCAATAGCTATAGGTAATCGAAAACTGGACACTGCAAAGGGTGCGGTTTTGAAAAATAAAACCGAAAGCCAACAATTTATTTTGCTGCTTCTGCTTCAGCTGGGAAAGTTTTTAAGCTAGTTTTTATAACCTTTTCTGAGCCATTCGATCAGTAAGTGTAGTTGTAGGCAGAGCATGAATTATTAATTAGTGGGGACATGGAGTTGTTTCTTTAAAAACAAACACAGTTACCAATACCGTCTTAGCTGGCTTGGAGAATGGATTTCTGGGTGCGACGGGTGCTATCAGTAATTACTAATTACCAGTAATTGCGACTAAATATATTAGTACTTGTGACTAAATACAGCTATTACCTGTCCAATTCATTTCACTTTTCGGCAGTATACATTAAGAAATAAATATATGAAAATCTATTTAACAAAACAGTTTTAAAGAGTTTCTAATTAGAAAGACTAATATGTGTTTGTTCAAATTGTTCCCCATTTGGGGGTGGAAATATTGCCGTTTTACACTACTTAAGGCAACATGTTTTTAAATTTCAGCTCGCTAGAGGCATCGAGTGCCCCGACCAGTTGTTTCAGAATTTGTTTGGAATTTCAAAATTCTTCACATGCGTTCAGGTTTGTATTAATGGCATCGCTTTCTATCGATTATTTTTTGCAGGCGCATTTTGTAGCATTGAAAATTATTCTATTTTCTAAAAGGTGCTTTATGCAACGGTATTTTATCGAATATAAATTAGTGAAATTATCGAAACCACCAATAACTGAAGTAGTAAGACTTTTGATTAATCGATTATTTGCAACTCTACTTTGAAATTTGAATCGAAATAAATGTGAAAGTTGTTTCAACTATTTTCCCGCTGTCCCTTTAATGGGTTATACTTGCATGTAAGGATAGAAAAGATATAGAAAATGCGGTTGTCAGATGATTTGGGAGACAACGTCATGGAGTTGTTATTTGTAGCACGCCTTTAAGAACGGGTTTTCGTACACAAAAATGTATTTATTTCTTGTGATCTTATTCCCAGCTGGTTTTTTCAATATACTTATACAATGAGTGTAAATATTGGGAGTATTTATGCAGCTAATTCAGTGCAGGGCCGACAATATGCGGTCTAACCGCAGGACACAGCCAAAAATGTAATCAAAAATTCATCAGCACTTGAGCAGTAAAATGAAATCCACTTGAGGGAAATTAAAGGAATGGCCCGAAGTTAGCTTCGAATGCCTGCGGGCTTTTATTTTTAATGCAACGGAAATCCAAATGCTTGGCAGCCGCAGGCGGCATGTAACGTCCATATAGTATTATGAATTAATTGGCCATTTTTGGGGGAATTGTGCGATTGACTGAAATTGTTTTGCGGTTGATAGGGAGAGGAGGCAAGGAGGCAAGGAGGGGAGGGGAAGTTGGGCACAGCTTGAAAGCCGATTGAAAAATAATTGAAATTGCGTTTGACAAGCGGGTTGGCGGCAAACAGAACTAATCAGCGCCAACTTATACCCCACAGGACTTGCAGAAATCTTCTCAAAATTTAATAGTCGTTCTGGAATTAGCTGTATAGGCAAACCTAGCAAGCTTCGAAGCGACTGGATAATATATGGAGCAAATTAACAAAATGGATACGAAACAAGGTGATGAAAATGTGATGCCATTGGCGGCCCCACAAAACGACTCATCTGCGGGTTCCAGCGATGAGTCGGAGCCCAGTGATGGACAGATTGGAGAGAGCTCTGAGCGTCCTGATGTGATCTGCAACGATTGCATGAATAAGGAAGTTGCCTGCCTGGCTGAGGATTGTGATGAATGCTATGACAGCTCATCGTCGGTACAGTCGAGCTCAGCGTGCAATTCGGAAATGGATGACTTTTTCAATCCCATCTATGCCGACTCCACTGCCACTTCAGAGGACAATGAGTCTGTCAATCAAATCTACAATCGCCGGCACTGCACAGGTCAGGTCGAGCAGAACCCGCCATCACAGCGCCGACATGTAAGTGTCTTACATTTCATTTTATTAGTTTTGTTTCTATTCACATATTACACAGATGGTGTTGGTTGAGGTGTCCCTGCCGCCAGAGCAGCGGTACTGGCCGTTTTATAACGAAGTGGATGACTTGACCGATTCAGAAGACGACCTGCTAGCAACGCCATCGCGCCCCTTTTGGCGTCGTTGGCACTCGTACGACGACATATACTGTACATCCAATTCAACTAACTCGAGTGTCTTGACCGAAACAACTGGAACAACTGGAACAACAACAGAAACAGAACTAGACACAGACCTAGACCCAGACCCAGACTTTCCGTACTGCTGCTCGATTTCGCTGACTGACACGCCGAGTGACGAGGAATCATCTTCAGGCTCATCTTTGAGCGAGCTCGAACGCACCCGACGTAGGCTTCTCCGGGACAATTCCCATCTGCGGGAGTTGATGGCCACGTGCATGGCACAGCAACGTTTGTCCAGGTTGCGTAAGTGGTTGGAGGGATTGCCAGAGTTGAAGCCACAGGTGCCGAGGTGCGAACAGGTCGAACCATTTGCACAGCATTTGCTCGAGACAGAGAATATCATTGCCCAGACCTTGGCCAGACTCAAGAAGGAGGAAGAGGGCCACATTGGGGATGCGATCGACAGTTCTCCAGACGACAAGCCTCTCGAAGGCAATCTTAAAGATGACACTGTGCGATACGATAAGCAGAAGAATGAAATCTGGTCTGAGCCCACAAAGGAGCCCCCTCTCACACACACACTCTCTCATTGATATACAAACACACAACTCGTTCAGCACTTTACGTGTAACCGGAAGGCAAACGACTGCGAAAAAGTTGTCAGCTTACCGATTATTAATTTCCGTTTCCCTTCCACATCGCAATATCGTCCGAACAATATTGCAATACAATTGCACAAAAAAAAAGTCTGCAATTTCAACAATCTGCTCAGGTAGACAGAGCCAGTCTTCTGCTCGTTTATAGTTTCATTTCGTAGCTGCGCATTTCGTTTTACAAAAACCAAACCAAACCAAACCAATGCCCATCAACCAAACACTAATATCCATATTCCCAATACAGACACCATAGCAATACGCTTTTGTTATTTTTACCTTTAATTAAAAGCAATTTATGCCGATAAATTGAAATCAATTATTTGCACCATTGGCGGCAGCGTTGACAAATGGAATTCTGTACGCTTCCAAAAAAAAGACAGGCGGACCGAGAGAGGGAGAAAAAAAAAAAAAACCGAAATTGCGCGTATAAAGGGTTATAGAGAGGAGCTGTTGTTTAAAATATTGGTATTTATCTGCGGACTTTCTGGCAGAATAAATGTTATGAATAGGAAGTCGGCAGATAGTAGTAGGCGCTACATAGAGTAGGTCGCGCTTCCAACTAACATGTTATTCTTCTCCATAGTTAAGATCAATATGGAAAGAGTATTAACACAAAATAAACACTTAGAAAAAGGGGAGAAGCATGAAAATGAAGCATGAAAAAGAAGCATTTAGTTGTAGTGCTTTAAGAAATAATAATTGTCTGTCCCATCAATTGTAAGATTATAAGAACAGATAAGCACAATTAGCCTAGAGAAAGGTTCTGCGTCAAATTATAATTTCTCATATGCCATAAAACAACAGCTTATGGAGATAGAATTCAATTATTAAATAAGAAGGCAGCTAATGTATTAAAAGAAAAGAAAGCATGTAGGGCTCACAAAATATTGTAATGTGTAGGCCCCCAGTTGGGCGCTAAATAATAACACTTTTTTTCTTTGAAGGAGCAATAAATAAGATATATACGGAGAAAACATACAAGAATAACAAAGCCAGTGGATCTATGAAGGGTGTCCCTAGTTTCAATTATTAAATAAGAAGACAGATAATGTATTAAAAGAAAAGAAAGCATGTGGGGCTCACAAAATATTGTAGTGTGTGGGCCCCTGAATGATTTTAGAGGAGCAACAAGACAAGATATATAAAGAGAAACAATACATAAATAACAAAGCCAGTGGATCTATAAAGAGTGTCACTAGTTGGGCCCCAGTTGGGCGCTAAATGATTTGAGAAAGCAACAAAACAATATATATAAAGAGTAACTAAAAAGAATAACAAAGCCAGTGGATCTATAAAGAGTGTCCCTAGTTGGGGCCCCAAATTGAAGACCTTCTGCATAGAACGACGCAACAGCTCTGCAGATAATTGCGATTAATTTTAAAACATATTATGTTTTATGATTCTTGAACGGGACGCCTTAACCACAAAAGTTAGCCCCATTTATTTTCAATTGTTACTTATGGCCCCATGTCGGGCGCCACAAAACGTGCATAATCTTATGTACGTTGCTTGCTGACACCAATCGGCACATCCCTTTCGACCGCCATCCTTATGCGACTCGCCTTCCATGGCGCGCTTGCAAATGCTTGCAAATGCTCGCACATTGCTCAAATGCTTTCCGCATCATTAATTCCAACTACATGCATGTAATCTAGATACAATACTATTTCTGCTTTCTTCTCCGCTCCCTTTCCTGCCTTTGGTGCAGACTGCGAAGTGGCTCAAGTCCGAGCTACCTATGCGCAGGCACGAACACCAAGGGGTCAGGTCGTGACACACAGTTGAACTCTGAGGGGGGGGTGAGGAGTGTGACTGGGGCGGGGTGTGTGGTACACGTTTCATGTGTTAACGAGTTGGAAAAATTATTATTACGTTATTATTTTGTCTGAGTGTAATTTAACAAAAAAAAAAAAAAGTAACACACTAACAACGAGCTGTTCTACCTCTCTCCTCTCTCTCCCTCTCTCAGTGTATGTGTGTGTGTGTGAATGCGTGGCTGTGTGTGTGAGCATGAGCCCACAATAACAATAAATTTCAATTCTTCACACAAACACACGCACACACTCGTACGAATAGCTGCACATTCGAGCGCCTGCATTTCGCCTTTTGCCGCCTCTGGGCAGCAACCCTTAAGCAGCTTGCGCTCAACAATTTATACGCTTTACGCGCTTTTGCTAAATAAATTTATAATGCATGCCAGCACCAAAAACACGCACACACACACACACACACACACACATTATCAGATACCTATCCTACAGTTGCAACGGCACCCAAAAACTTTAGCGAGCTCTGCCCCCCTTACCACCCTCCAAAGTCGTGGTTTACTTTTCAAACAAGCCACCAACTTCGGTTCTTGGGCTTACGACGCCTTAGATACATTTGTATCTAAGTTCCTTCTCTGTGTGCCAGCGTGTGTGTGTTTGTGCGTAAATTACAAGAATTTTCTTGCAATTAAAATTTGTTGCTTTCTCAGTAGTATAATTTTACAACTTTTGCTTGAAAGTCGCCGCTACCGCTGTGAATTAAACAAATTGCCAAAAGCTGTGCGCATATGTTGAAAATAAATGCGCGGCTAATAGTAAAATATTATATGAACGGGTCTGCATACTATATGTATGTATGTGTGTGTGCTAAGTTCGACTCATATTCAAAATGCCCAAGTTCTTCTCTAGATTGCCAGCAAAAAGCACGCGATCGTCGGAAGCAATTAGAAATAAGTGAATAAACATAGGAATCGCTCACTGTACATGTTTCTTTTGACGCAAAAAATGTCATATATTTATATCTTAAGATAAGCTTAGTGCAAAATCGCACATTTTAGCGAAATATATTTCTTTTCCAGTGCTACGCCCACAAACCCAGCATCAAGTTCGCTCCTCTTCTTCTTTTTGCTTCTGGGTAGGAAGTTTGTCTCCGTTAGGGTACTTCTCTGTCGGACTTGCTTGACTGTAGTCGAGTTTATCATCTAATTCTGTTTGTATCATGAGACATTTTGAATAGATATTATATCTGAGTACCCCATAGTGCTTCAAATGTTTTGATGTGAAGATCTCTGGATTCGGCCCATTGTACTTAGCACGAATGCTCGACTCAGCAATCCGATCTTTCTATTGTCAAACTCACATTTCGATATGCCTGCGCCAACCTCAGAAAATATTCAGTTTCAAATCAGTGCTCGAACTGAGCACATCAACAAAAGCAAAAAAAAAAAAATAAAAAAAAAATAAAAACAAAAATAAAATAACAAATCGAAAAAAAAATCTAATCTTAAGTAAAAAGTGGTTGTTATTTTTTTATTATTTCGGCTTAAGCGCGAAGTGAAATCGATCTTAGGATTAAGCGGAAAGTGTTTGATTTAGTTATTTTGTTCCCGTTCAGAGGTTATGTAATGTAACTATAGTGTATTTTCATTTATCCTTCCGTATACCCATTGGCACTCCTGTAAGTATGCAGCAAACGTTTCTACCTGTCCTAGTCCTAACAAAAGCGCTCTTCTGCAGCACTATTTACGCACGTGGATCTACAAGAAAAACATGCTGACATTTTATAAGAAGAAAGAGAGACAGAAAAAAGAACAAACAGGATTTGACTGCGACGCTGTACCCGGATTGAACCATACACCTTTCGAGATAACTCACTGAATGTAAGTTTACGAAGTGCTCCGAAGAACTCTGAGTGAAAATTCTGCAGCTTTTAGAATTTTCACTTTTATTCCCGGATTGGACTATACCTATGATAATGTGAGAGTGGACTGATTCTGAAGGTTATATGTATGAACGAACGCAACTCTAGTTTCCCGATTTCGTCTATATATTTATATATTTTTAGCAGTCCATTTTCAATTCGCTCTTCGAAACATCTTTTTCAGACAAGTAAGTTAAAAACATTTCAAGGCAAAAATATTTCAATAAATAAACAGCCTTCTTGTTGGTGTTGTTCTGAAACAGCGCCCATGTTTCCAAGACAGATGACAGCCCATACACATTTTTCGGCACGGTAGCTCTTTTTTAAGCAGTGCGGAGTTTTGATATTCGCAGAAGGGGAAAGCTACCTATGCAAATATATTTTGATATGAAAATCCTAAATAGTATGTATATTTTGATACAAAAATCCCAAATGTTATGTATATTTTGATACGAAAATCGTAAATCTTATGTATATTTTGATACGAAAATCTTAAATGTTATGTATATTTTGATATGAAAATTAAAAGTTATATATTTTGATACGAAAAGTAAAGTTGCATTTATTTGTAATTATTACGTATTCCTGTTACTTTTTCCTCTGAAATTTAGCAACACATTGCCTCTGACTTCCACGTGAAAACAAGGAAGAGCCATGAACGTTTGCTCCCTTCGCTTATAAATAAACTAGCAGGTATTGCTCGTCTTAATTATTTAATTAATTAATGTTTCAAATTGTATCTATTTTGTGTGTGTATTTAAATTAACATTTTCTGTTCTTGACAAAAAATTGTTCAGTAGTCCGCTACATTTTTGTTCTTACCATAATTTTTCGTTAAACTTACACACACATGACCACTATAGTATAAGTAATATTTATATTTATTAATATTTAAAGCTCGTTTCCCCCCTTTGGAGCTCGAATTTTCCAAAAGCCTTTGTTAGTGCGCTCCTACACTGTGACGGATACCTGACTGACTGATTGGAAGCTGGAAAATTCCAGCTCGTGAGGGAGTGAGGGGGCGTTTTTATGACGTTTGTATAAAAAAACACAATGAGTGGTTGGAGTTAGGAAGCTGACATTTAGACTCAAGTTTTCTTTTAAAGGTTAGCTTAAAGAAGTGGGTCTAGAAAATTATAGTCCCGATTAACTTTAGATAATGAAAGACAGAATATAAGATAGCTTGCTTGGTGTGTTTTTCGAAATTTTCACTTAAGCGTGCAAGAAATAAATAACAAAATGCATACATATATAAATATGATGGGGAACAGGATATACAAGTAAGTAGTAAATAAATATACTTATAATTGTAAGCCAACGTAGTCTAGGCAATGCGGCAAGACATGCAAGTGTTTTTATAAACTGGCAGGCAGCTATGTTCAATTCTAACGAGATCCTAAGTAAATGTAAATTAATTGATAAGCTAGATTTGCTCTGTCTAGACCACGAATGGTACATTATCATATTGTTATAGATAAAACCTCGATAAACAGACATGCTCTCTTATACAGATAATAATGAGTTCGGCCTTAGATGCCGAACATAACACCAACATTTTCGTAGCTGGCAGGCGCCAGCTTAATAGATAAGGATGTGTAAGTACACAAAT